CCCCCCCACACACCCCTCCGCGGGCACACGGGGCGAGCGGCAGGAATCCCCCCTACAGCGGCTACGCGGGGTTTTCTGTTTGCCATGCAACGAAGCCTCCCCAGAAGGAGGCTTGCTGCAGGCCGCAGCGCTCTCCGAGGAAAAAGACAGCACTCGAAGACAATTTCGCTTTGGGACTCTCCTTTAAGGAGGATTTGGGTTTCACAGCCGCAGCGGTGTAACGCAAAATATCGGTCTGAAATTGTCAAGTCTCTGCCCTGCAGCTTCCTCCCCACCCCACACCTTTATGCTTTCAGAGCAGCTAATAAAATTATTTGTGGGAGAGTCCTTGTTGCGAACTAACAAACCCGTGCGCTAGGCCTGTAAAATTCTCTCGTTGGAAAAAAAATGAAAGATTCGAAAAAATGGTAGCTGATAGACTAAAACAGCAAAATAGTAAATCTAATTAAATAATCCAGGAAATATTTTTAAAGAGAAAATGCTCTAAACCAATATTTCTACTATGCTTTTTGCAAAAAATGCTGCAAAACTGGTAAAATATAATTGTGCTTTCTCCATGTACAAAATGTTGTTTTAGTGTTGCAATTCTACTTACCTTCAAGAAAAATAATTTCACTTCTACTAGCTTAATTTGCTTGAATCCAGTATTTTTGTAAGCTAAAATATTTTACCGTATTAAAGAGGTGGAAGGTAATACTTCCTAGTGGATAGGAATACAATACCCTATTAAAACATCCCACTTGCACTAATCTTAACGTCTACTTGGATACTTAATGCTGCTTGCTATGTAATGCCAGTTCTTGCCTATAGGGATACATTTGCTAATGAGCAACTACTGAGGCAATATATTAATGAGCACTGCGAAGGTCTTACCTGACACTGCGACCAGTCTAAAAGTGGGATCATTGTAAGATGCACAGACTGAACTATTGCATGGTGCCAGAGAAAGAGACCCAAAGGGTAAATTGTCAGAACCTAAATTCACACTTGTCCAGCATTGTGTAGTGTAGTTTTCCTATCAGGTGACCACCGTTCTTCCTCGTTTAGCTGACACACTAGCATGGCTTGTCTTCGTCTTTGGAGTGGCAAGAAATGGAATGAAATAGAACCAGCTTTGGGGTATGGGAAGAGTAAAGAGCATCTAGTTGTTGGGGTTTCTTTTTCAGAAAATTCAACGAAACAAAGATGAAACAAGTTCATTGAGAGGCAGCAGTTGTTAGCTAGTAAAACTTAACAGTCTTACAGTTGGTTGTCAAGGTTTGACAGCAAACCTTTTCCATTCGAGATTTCCAGAATGTTGGCAGAGCTGTCAGTGCACCTTAAAGCTCCAAAACAAACTGCCTTTTCTTTTAGAAAGAACATACTGGCCGCCTTGTTATCGGAGACCACAGATCAACCTCTCACTTCAGGACAGGTCAGTTTATCCAACAGCTGATACAAAGTTGGAAACCGAACACTTATTTAGGAACATCCCAGTACTTTGAGCTTCGTAGATGTTGCAGGGAGGGATTTCAGGTTTTGTGGCTGAAGTTGAAGACGGGTCAGGCTGTGGAGTTGTAGAAGTTCCTAATTTCTCTTGTTAGATTACTGACAAACAGTTTCTCTGACTGCACTTACTTGCCTTCTAAAGTCCAGGTTCAGCAAAGTACTTGATGATCAGTTAAACCTGTGTACAAATGCCCTGGAAATCAAGGCCTATAGGTCCTCAGTCTTATTTTGCTATCAAAATAAGAAAGTAAGGTTTTATTGCTATTGGTACCTAGCAGTATTATACTTCTTCCTTGCTGCCAGGTATGGATATCCAAACCTCTAAATCATTGTGCATGGAAAAGAACAGGGTTGATTTCTCCTCTCACCTGATTACCTATTGAATAGAAAGATCTCTGCCTTAAAGCAATGAGGTAGAAGCTGAAAAGATCTGCAAGGTCATCTTGCCAATCAGCAATAATTTGATGTCATGTAATGTAATACCATGGTAACGTCTTATCAGGCTTGCTCAGGTAGTAAGTCAAAGTACAGTGAAACCAAGCTGGGCTTGACTGTCTGAGAGAAGCTTTGATAAAGCTGTATAGAATAGCAACTGTCAGAGTTCCAGAAAACTTCCTTCCCTGATATGCTCCACTGGTAATTTTTCAGTTGACAAAAAATGATCTATGGACCAAAACACCAAAAGAAGCCTGAGGATTGGTTCCAGGTTCTGCTGTTAGCTTGCAGAGTGACTGAGAATCACTTCCTTATACCTCAGTTTCCTAGAAAGGAGATGATGCTTCCCCTAAGGAGTCATAAAGAATCAGTACTGCTTTGTTATTAGCAAAAAGTTAACATGCTGTTTTTTTCACAAAAAATTAGAACAGCTGTTTTCTTAACACTTGTCCAACATTCAGCTATCGTCCTTTTATAAAAACATACAGCGCTAACTTCCAAATAAGGAAACATTAAAGTGCAATACAAGCTTTTAATTTTACAGAGATACAAATTAAAAACTAGAGTGTTGTAGGCCTATCGGGGGAGAATTAGAGATTCCTACCTTTCACGAGAACAGAGGATTCTTAACTATTTTAGACCATATTTTTCCCCAGTAAAAATGATTCTTTATTTACTTATTCAAACAAGTAAGTAAAGGGCATGTAGAAGCAGCTCATGAAAATTAGTTTTTCTCCTAATTCCTAAAGATGGAAAAATGCAGAGCTGTAGTAACCGCTCTTGATAATTCAGGATGCATGAAATAGTTTCAGATACAGCTCTATAAACAAGAGCAGTAGTATTGTCCCAACTGCTGCTGCTATATATTAATCATGGTTTAATCATAGTAATCGCATGTTACGCAGTGAAGGTCAGAAACTTTCTCCTTGCTGTGACATGTTGCGGTATTGGCGGGAAGCACAGAGAAGTCATACTGGTTACGTTTACCTTGTTTAGTAGAACACACACCGTGCGTAGCACAACTGTCTGAATGCGTCGGGTCTTAGGGACTTACCAACTCATCTTTATATCAAAGCAATTTTGCTTGCACACTTGATATGATTGCTTATAAATCTGATGGTTTGTATGCAATAATACTCAATCTAGTGGTTTAAGATGGCTAAATTTAAACTTTTTCACATATACAGTGATAAACTTTGAAAATGTGACTTTGTGTAATTTGATGTCTTTGTTAATTTGAATGAACCATAACCAAAGTACACTGGACAATGCAGGGGAAGAAGACAAGAAAATGAATGAAGAACTGGAGTCTCAGTACCAACAGAGCATGGACAGCACGATGTCTGGACGAAACCGGCGCCATTGTGGACTTGGTTTCAGTGAGGTAGTAAGTTGTTTATTTCCGTAATGATTTGGCTTTCACTTCACTAAGACAAGATGGTACGTGGCTTAAAAAATCCAATCACCACAACTAGTGGCAAACTTCCACAGTTTGGGTTAAAGGACAAACTTACTGCAGGCACTTGACCCCTATTTGTGTACACTGTGGTGGCCGTTTAGATTCCTGGAAATGATTGATGTTTCTCATTGTTCCGAAAAGTGATATGACATGCTTAATGCTCCATAGTAGTCACGACTGATTAGGACAGAAAGTGACAAGTACGTTAAATCAGGGTGTTGCCAAGGAATGCATAAGAAGGCAGGATAACCATCTGCATTGTCGCTGAGAGCTAATTAATCTTAGCTTCTTGTTGCGGTGAGGCACATACCTCTCTATGGTCCTGAAAAGTAAGTGGCTATAGAGGGGTCAGACCAGGGAAGTTTGCTGTACAGAGCCCTGCAGTGGGCTGACACCTGACTGGTCTTTGCTTGCAAGGAATTCCGTAGGAATGAGCAGGAAGAGAAGTGTGACAAAACCCAACAGAATCAGGTTATTGGGAACGTGTCTTCATCTGCCAATTGCAAGGTGCAATAATTAATTTTTTGCTAACTGTTAGCACCAATTACCGCATAAAAACACAGCTGATGTTTCCAGAGCGAGTAAAGCTACCTGTGCAGTGCTGGGAATTCTTAATATTACAGCCATGGAGGCTTTGCTCTTTAGGAGCATGAACAAAATTCCATTTTGGGATTGTTCTTGTTAGCAGTATCATTGGATTACTTCAGCATTCCTCACGCTGCAGTGTGCTAAACTTACTTTCAAAGATTAGTCATGAATATGAATTCTTGATGGTCTAGCCATTATTAGTTTCATTATGTTTCACTCCATGACAAATATTCAAGTGTCATTATGTACTCTGTACACCAAAGTAAGGAATTACTAAACTGATGTGATCTGAAACTTTTCAAAACTCATTTAATGGTGTCTTTAGGATTTCTGCTGTAACTAGGTAAGAATGTGGCTGATGAAACCATGGATGTCACAGTTGGTACGGTTAACCGCTTCAGTGGAGTTACTTTCTGTCTAATAATTTGTATATTAAAGACCTGTGTTTAGCAACATAGCCCATTTTAGTCCTAAAATGAAAGGTGCCATTAAGGGAAATATTCTCACTGGGAAATTTTAAAAGCTGCAGTGGAGTTGCCAGGAAATACTGGTTTATCTGTCTCACAATCTGAACTTCTAGTTTCAGGAAGGTGAAGAACAAGAAGAAGAGGCAGCTGGACACTCCTCTGAAGAGAGTTCAGAGGACTCCGAAAGTGGCTCTGAGTCAGAGCAAGAGGAGTCTGCAGAGGAGCTACAAGCTGCTGAAAAACATGATGAAGCTGAGGTTCCAGAAAACAAAAAAGAAGCAAAAAGCAACTATAAAATGATGTTTGTTAAAGCCAGTGGTTCATAACTGCAGATGTAACAGCTTTGTATTTAAAGTACAGTAAGCCTTATTGTTACAGTGCAAAGTGGAGGACTGCTACAGCACAAATCTTTGTATTATGATTTTAAAAAGATCCTGTTAGATGACAAAAAGTAGTATTTGCTTTCAGTTGCCATGGATAACATTTTTATGGGCACAGTGATATTACTGGTTTTTGTAAAGTGTATAAAATACTGGATGGAGAAATAAATTCTTTTTGTTCCTGCCCAATCTCTACAATGTTATCTAAACTATCCCTCCCCTTATTCCATGCCAGATAAGGAAACTTCATGTTAGTGGTTTCTTCCATTAGTACCCCAGTCTTGAATTTTTAACTATTACGATTACATGTGAATTACTGGATGTTGCATTAGTTGTAAAACACCAATATCGGCGCTATTCTGTGATGTACTAGAGCTTTAAACAATTATTTTGTCTATAGATGCTAGTGTTGACAGGGCTAAGAGGAGAAATCACTCGCTTCTGTGACAGTATTAATGACTGTATCCATCCGAAGTCCTACAGCAGCTGCACAGGAGAAGATGTTTTAGAAACGCATAATACAACAGAAGGCTCTAACTGCTTCTTTGGCTTTATGATGAGGGGGATAAGCTGTAGTTCTTTATACTAGCAGAAAAGAGTGATTTTTGAATTATTGGCTCCTGGTTGTAGCGCTGAGCTGTTATTGAAAATAACTCCTCCCAAAGAAACCAGTTTACTTTGAAAGAGAAAATATACTTTGATAATGAAAAGGATATACAAATCATTTAGCTTTTTTAAATACAGAATAGAGTGAAGTACGCAAGCCCTTCTTCCTTTTCTCCCTGTACACACATCACTTGGTCTAAGTCAGTTATCACAGAAGGGTTGTACCTCTCAAGTAAAGTTGGTAACGCTTAAAGAGCCAGGAGTTCCAGTAACTCCTTCCAGCAAGAATTGAGCACATCCATTCCTCTGCAAGTTTATTGTATTCAAGTAATTAATAAAATACCAGAACTTTTTAGACTTTGTTTCCTCTTAGTACATCAGACAGAGAAACTGCCTCTCCCTGCTGGGAGAACAGAACATCTGATCTGTACCTCTGGTACAGCCTCGTTCTGCCACAGCAGCGTTTGAAGAAACACTCCAGATACTTGTGGAGAATCTTCCATTTCTGCATACAATTTATGATGTGCAGACAACATTTGCAAGCCAGTTGGCTTACATGAAAGCAGCAGTATGTACTATCATTGTATAGGTTTATTGAACGTAAACGTTGCAGCATCAGTTATGGGGGGAAGACTTGGAATAAGTTACATTATGGAAAAAATAAAAGTAATATGATTGTAAATAAAAACTGAGTGTAGATTTTGATTGATCTGTTTTACTACACTTGCACTTAATACAAAATTTTTCAAAGTCCTTCAGTTTTAAGAACAACGTTACAGCAGCCACTAATGGTCAGTGATTTGTACTTGATTTGTATGGATTTTTTTGTTTTCCCAGTACTGCAAACTTCTAATACATAGACAAAAATTAAAGTTGCTTGTACATCGTGAAGAAAGAAAACCTCACCATGACTTAGGAAAGCTGCTCTATCTCTGGGAAGAGATAAGAGGCCCTCCCCGAAAGATCAACTGATTAACTTTCCTAACAGACTGATACCGTTTTTTTCCTATTTAGACACTCAAGCTACATTTAAACCAGCATTTCACTGTTAAATCCTTTTAGATGTGGCTGCTGGCTCTTTATTGCCTTGAGTGCAATTACAAAATTAAGGTGTAGGCTGCAAAATGCTGCATATACACTGACTTCTCTGCCTTCCCTGTCCCAGCACTGAAGCTAGCACTGCTCGCACAACCTTTTCCTCCACAGCTGCTCAGCATCCACGCAGATCTCTGGACTCGCGCATCAGCATGCATCAAAACAGACTCACTTTCAGCAGGTGATAGAATCCATTGCTGTAGACCCACCCTGCGAGGCAGAGAGCCCCGCTGCTTTCCCACTAGCCTCAAACGAAAGGCATGGTAAAACCTCACCTGAGGGCTCTTCTCCGCAGTACAACCAACCTGGAAAGACCCAGGAAAAGCAGATCCAGCGGGCAGGCCCTGCATGGGTCTCTGCCGACAGAACAGGCTGCCACAATGAGCACCATCAGGGGCCTCTGCCTCCCGCCTTGTAAAACAGATTTGGTCATCGGTCCTAAATATAAATAAATAGACCACACGAGGATAAAAAATAAACTGAAATTAAACTATTCTAGTAACAGCTCTGACCAGAAAAAAAAATTCTCAACACAACACAACTTCCATTCCCCAAAAGTATGGCACGTAATATTGTGAACTTCTGATGAGGTTTGGTGGAACTCCGTTATGATGCTGACCTAAGACTAATTGCTCAAAATAGGGAGAGTTCTACACAATCACATCTGTTTCTGTCTAGCATTTATAAACATTATTAAGAACCTGCAGATTCATCTACAAAGCAGCCTAAGAAGCTTCTCCATATATACTGAGAAAGGCTGATTTAGTTCCGTGTCGATTCTACAGTAAATCTTTTAATTCAGAAGTCAGTTTTAGCAACATTTGGTATAATAGCACCAGCAGTAGTGGCATGGATCATAGCAGAATAGTTTCAGCCCTCACACTTATCGGAGACAGAGAACACAGGAAAAATCAAGGTAGGTGTCTCGGCCGATTCTAGTCAGTTCTTCGCTTTTTCAGGTTGGTATGGAAAGAGCTCCCAGCGATGACAGCAGACACTGAATCATAAAGAGGGCAACTGCATTTGTCTTTTCAAACAAGATTTGGCCACTGAAATTCCTCAACTCAAAGACCAGCTTATTTGCATCTCAATAGAAAGGCCGAAGTCTGCCCATACTCCTACGTGTCTTAGGAAACAACTGATGAAAGTTAGATCTGCCACAGAACCACCATCACATCTGGTAAAAGTTTTCATCTGTTTCTAAACCACACTGAAAATTTACCCACTCAAAGGTCAATGCAGGTGCACTGTCAGCATTTGGCTTTGGAAGACTGAAAACACTTGAACAGGTCGAAAGCACGGGTGTGCCCATTCCCCTTCCATTTGCCCTGGAATAAGGAATCCTTCAAGATGAGTACCATCACAGCCCCACTGCCCACAATGTCCTGCAGCCACAGAAGAGGATGCTTCTAAGCCAGGAAAAAAGGGATTCGTTTCTTTCTCAACATCGTACAGGAATTCTTCAAGGCCAAGGAAACCAGATCTGTAAGTTGCCCTGTAGCTTTATGCAACTGCTTTACAGCTTACTCTCCCTTTCTTCCTGAAGAGGAGGCTGACAACTTGATTCCTGAAAGCACAATTTATAGGCCAGCTTCAAAGCTATAGGTCCTTCTAAGGCTCTGGTTGGGGAATTCACATCAAAGATGTGCACATGTTGTTCTGATGCCAGAGAGGACGGTTGGTAGAAATCTCTGTGGATTTGCTACAGTCCCCAGAACAGGGATTAAATTATGCACTGAAGCTGCCTCTGTAAACTGCAGGAGACAAAGAGAATAAGTGGCAGTGCAATATCCCATAATCAAAGCCTGGCACAGTTATTTGCATCAGTCTCTTAGAAGCTGTCAGGGGATTAAGAGAAGGGACATGTGTCAAGGTACCCTCACTGAAGGGACAGAGCAGAAGTTGGTTTTGTTTGCTTCTAAGACTGCCACCTCAGCTGCACTTTTCCTGAGAAAAATACCCAAGTAGTACGTAGGTGTACAGCATCACGATGGATAGATAAAAGTTTCCTTAGTTTTTGCACAGCATTAAAGAAGCAAAATACTTAGTGATTTAATCTCATTTGATTTGGTTTTGATGTGCAGGTGCAGACTGAGATCACACTGACAGTTTGTGCTATTATCTATCGAAATCCAGTACCATTTATGGTGCCCATAGCTCAGGCAGATCTAGTTGAGGGGAAAAAAAAAAAAAAAGAGAAGAATGAAAAGTCACATACGTCAGAAGAGGGGTTTTGCATCATCAGTCAAGCAATGCGGGGGCCCATATTAAAAAAAACTTCCTTGCTTTGAACTTTTTCACAACTGCCCACCCTGACATGCAGGGAAACTCTCTCAAACCGTTATCGTAAGTGTTCTCATCACAAGTATATCAAGCTACATTAGAGACTGCAGAAAGGTTTGACAATCTGAACTGGCTCCTTTTCACCCTCATATTTATTGCTAAAGCTTTAAAACAAATGCAGGTGAAGCTTTTGATCCTTGACTGGTTGAGGCCAAGTCTCCTTCCTCCCGTTATAGCCACTGAAGTCTAGTAATTGTGATCTGTTTGTAAGGATGCAGTAACAGAACATCTCTTTCCAAAACACAATTTTTTGTCAACAAGGCTTCTTCTTAACATAAGAAATCGATACTGGACATAAAAAAAAGAGAGATCAAATTTACTCAGTAGTCAACTGATGGAGCCACTACCCAGATCCTGAAAAAAATCTGCGTATAAAATCATTTGCCAAGTCACTATTAAACTGGATTCAGCGAAGACAACTGAAGAGTCCTCAGGCACACAGAAGGCTTTGAGGAAGCCAGGGGACACAGCTACACTCACAAGATGTTGCGCGCTCTTCCCTCTGAGCCTCTCATCCAGTTACGACTTGGAAAGAGAGCAGAGCAGCCAGTTCTGGTACTCATCTCAGCAGCGGTCCCTCAGCTTTTACTAATTCTGTGTCTTAGCACCAAATGAAAGGAGAATGGGATCAACACGCGCGTGTGTGTATGCGTTCACAGCCCCCAACGCATACACACAGACACACTACAACTGTGTTGGGCAGAAGACAAAATCCTGTTCCATACTGGGAGAAGATGATGCTCAAAGGCGCAGTATGGAAGAAGCAGAGCAGGGACATACAAGAACTGTTTAACATGAAGTAAACAGTCAGAAAAGCCAACAAAACAGACAATACAAGAGACAAATAGAATTAGCAGTGACTTCTCTGATGTCAACTTTTTCCCCCAGAGTGGTACAACTCACTGGAACTAAATGTCGCCAGCTACTTCATTTCATCAGGGTTACATCTTGCATAAGCCATCAGCCAGGGTTTCAAAAAACCTCCAAAAACCTCCCGTGTCTCAAGAGATGAACTGGAAAACAACGTTAAGGCTTTTCTCAATTCTGGCTCTAGAGACAAAAATCAAACCAGCCCAAAACCCCTGACAATGTAACAGAACCGAGGCCAGAGACTACAGCAGGCCACACAACACTCAATCTTGCAACGGCACATCACAGCCGCTGAGAGAGAAGCACTCACTCAGGCCAGGCTCTGCGCCAGGGAGGACCAACCTTTTCCGCCCCTGGCTCTGGGGCAAGCTGTTTCTACAGGGAAAAGGAGAGTTTCACTCATACTTGCCATTCTTAACTGCAATTTGGCTTAAAAGAACAGAGCACAGCAGCTGCCAATAGAAAAGGCAATTGTTATCAAAACACTATTTTAAAGTCATCAGTGATTCTCTCCTTCACCCACTGCCACCATCAACACTCTACTCTCTCGTTTATCCCGTTCACAAGGTATTTTTTGTACTAGGACACTGGACTTACATTCCCGCTTGCCAGCTATTCCTTCTTACCTCGCCCTCTACAATTTAGGCCGAGTCCCTTCGTTAAAGCATTTTGCTTCTGTCCGAGTCCACATATTCCAGCTCCTTCAATCTTTTTACTACCTCACTTCAAACTACCCCACTCTCACCTTCAGATTCTTTCTTAGTCTTGTTTGCAGATACATCTCTTGCCATTATTTCCTACAAACTCACTACTCGCCTTCGTTTTCTTAATCTCTTCCTTCCTTTAGTGCTTTCTTATGCTATAGCTCCTGGTAAAAGGCTTCTTCTAATGGGTAACAAGAAAACAGCATTGTCCTTTAAGCCTACATCTCGTAACACTATTTCATCAATAACTGCTCCAAAAACACTGCCCAATTCTGTCAGCATTCTCTTTGGAGGCCGTTTTGCACTCTCTGTAAGGCAACCAGGAGCACTGGCAAGTAAACAACAAGTAAACAGTGCACAAATGTGCACATATGCAATACTTTCTGGTTTTATTTACTTTTATAATTAGTGCTCAAAGTTATTCTGCCATCTCCCAGTAATTTCACTGTAGGCTTTATAATTTTACCTTGCTCTTAGGTTTACCTGTAATTTAACATTCAAAGTATGGTTGTTGCACAGAATACCTCAACAGACTTGTATTAAAAATGCTCTTTAAAATTCCAAAGCTTTGAACTAAAGAAATATCTCAGGAAGTTTTCATGGAAAGTTCATCTCGGTTGGTTCAATTCAGCTACAGTTAGATGCGCCTTTTCAAATAATTGAAAAAAATGTAAAGGGGTCAGACCCAATCAATACAGTTGTTCAAACAGAATTTCAGGCACTGTGATGTGTGTATTTTTTGTGCTCTTTCTTTGTACTGCTCCACTATGAAGAAAGGTTGCTTTTGCTAGTAGAGCAATAAAAGTCTTAGCCTTTTGAATACAGCCAAATAACCAATGGGAATGTTTACTAGGTGTGGAAAATATAGCAATTTTTCATGTTTTTCTTGTGCATGGCTTTGTTCTTTTTATAACTACGCAATATATAGACACGCACGCAGCACAAGCAAGCACTTCAAAATACCCGAAGACAGACATAAATCAGAGGGGTTACATCAGATCATGCCTTCTATATCTTCTAAGTTTTGACACTAAGTAAATCTGGTCTTTCCTTCATATAACATCCAGAAGTTAATTGCTAAGACACATGGGAAATATGTGGTTTTACAGAGGGGAACAGATTCTGATATAAAATACATAACATACACATATATTCGAAGATCTGGAAGTCACATGAGTAAATGGTGCAGGTGGAAAACTAAAGGTGTAAACAATACCAGAACCTGTTGGGAGTGCTCTGCTTTCTCCAAACACCAACCCCTCCCTCCAAAGGCTACGGGGTATCTGAGACCACCTTGCTTGACCTTTAACAATCTTTTTGAAATAGCAGCACACAAGTTTAGTAGTATCTTTCAGTAGCTTTTCGTTTCCCGAAGAGAATCTCTTCATACCGTTGCTTCCTGAAAAACCTTTCTATCTAGGGTTTTTATCCAACTGTTGTAAAACAGTCTGGATGCCTCTAACTACTGCTACTGTCCAGTCCTTCAAAATAAAAAGCTTTATATAGATGTACAAAGACAAGCAACAGCTCTGTAGCTCAACAGGATTTCCTGACACCCAGCAATACCTACAAACTCAATATAACAGCAGTGGGAAAAAAAAAGGGGGGGGAGGGGTTGTTATGCAAGTTCAAAAAGGTGAAAGCAGTGCTACTTACGAGTATCAGACTGTAGTTTTATGAATTCAGCTGTGCAATAAAATTTTAATAACTTTAGTTGAAGAAATTGAAAACAGATGTATAAGGGAAGTCAGTCTGCGTAATTTTTGCTTGGTATAACATTACGAAACACTAATTAGAAAACAGCGCCTTCAAAAGAAGAACTGATACTACTTTCTAATGAGTTTCTGTTTCTTTAATTATAATTAGTCCCAAACACTTAAGCTGCTTAATAGGCAGAAGGGAAAAAAAAAAAGCCACTTTCTGACCAAAATGATATTGATCTGCAAAAGTAGGCATCATTTTTTTCTAGTCTTAATATTAGAAAGTAGTGTCTAACACCTACAAAACAGCATTTTGATTAAAAGAAACAGAACTGAAAAAGGAAATTGACCCAAACCAAACACTATATGCATATGAACATTAGCCCTAATTATTTAAAACTACACCCATCCCTGCAAAAATATGGTCACTGGAGAAAAATATTTCACATATTCAATAAAAAGTTTTGGAAGAAAAATTATCTTGATAATTTTTTCCCAAAAACAGGATTCACTATGGACGCAGACCAAAATCTTTAGAAAGCGTTAAAAGCATTATTTAGGGCAAAATCCTTCTCTTTCATGCAAGCTTGAATGAGCAGATTTTGTGTGTGTCATCAAAGAAAAGAAAATTAACATCTCCCACAACCTGCAGAGCAAAAGCGCCTGCACTCCTTTCCCTTCATTGCTGGGGCAGCAGACAGAATTTGGGCAGCAGACGGCTGCTGCTGTTCAGGAACCCATGGGCTGCGCACTTCACCCACCAATTACGGCCACATACTCTTCCCTCCTGCATAACAAAGCTTCTGGAGAAAGAATGCGGTTTCACTGAACCATGAAACATGTGGTCAAAGGCTCCTTTGTGCGCCTGAGAAACAGGAGGAGCATGTCATAAGCAGCTCAGCTCTGAATTTCTGCTGCACGCATCTGAAGGTCAAGTACTCACATTCTCAAATATTTGCTCTCAGGTTCGCCGAGTCAACACTAAGCCACAGAAATACTTCTAACTGCTTCTTTACATTTTGTTCTAGAGCTTAAGTTTCAGAAGAATTAAATATTTCCACTGGTCTCCATCAAACTGATGACATTTGAGGGAACTGTTACAACGTAAATCACTGCTGGTTAGCTGCTACTGAAATCTGCTTTGCCAGTTGCCCACCAACCCTCTCTTTGGTCAATACCCTATTCACATACAGCGCCCACGTTACTACGTGATGCCTCCAGGTCTTTTGTTTGTTTGTTTTTACATTGATGTTACTTTTGATACTTTATTTCACCAGAAACTGAAGGGCTAAGAACGTGCCAGACAAACATCGGTACCTATGAGATAGAAAGGACAGTATCGTAGTCACTGTGTTTGGGGGACAACCCTGAAAAAAATCTTTCTATTCAAGAATAAAGACAGGTTTAATCAAATGCTAAGAAACATTTCTGAAAAAAAGAAAAGAATATACAAATGAAGCTTTGGTGTAGGGGGAACCTGATCCAAATCCCAGTGAAATAAATGCAAAACTGGGGAGCTTCAATGGGATTTGAATGAAAGAAGAGCAAAACGTGGTAACGGCACAGACGACTGGATCTTTGGCCACATGGACGCTGGTAAGAGAGCAGACAAGACAGAGGCAATAGGAGGCAGTTATGTTAATATTTTAATCTGTACATATACCATTTTCCAAACTGTTACATTTTATTTAAATTAATGTTTTCTTGCAAAATATTCATTTATGCTTTCAAAACTTTTTATAAAGGCAAAAATAAATCATTATTTTGGCAAAAGGTTTTGAAGTTGATACTGGCAGTATTGAGGTAAAATAGATTGCGTTAGCTAAATATATACTTTTAAGAATATTTCTGAGTATACTGTTAATATAATATGATTTGTCTTAAAGTCTGAAACTTGAAGGTCGATTTCAAGGGTTTTGTAGCTATTACTTGAATACAGCAAATGAACAAGTTAGCTGTTTCACAAAATACTGCGGAAGTATTTCTCAGTCATTTCTCATCCAAAGCTGAACTCAACTAATAATTACATAATGGGAAATTTTTGCCTGTCTTGCATTCAATGCGTACACAGTTTTTTTTTCAAGTAAAGTAGTTGCAGCAATTCATTTAATCTTATTTTCTCCTTATGTAACTACCTCACCCTTTGCCCTATACGTAAGTAAAACACTGAATTTCAAAGTTTGGCAAAGTTAAGCACCAGGTGAACATACATACGAAATTAGGAGGTGCCACATTACATTAGTTTTGCTGTTTCCAGGATAAATACTAGTCAATAAATCATATTGTAATGTTTATTGAAAAAATCAAAAGAAAAATACATATTTACTAGTAAAATGACATATCCTATTATATGTTTTTATTGCTTAGTTCACATTTTTTAATTAAAAGTTTTCTTCTTCCACCTCTCAACTTTCAAAAAAATATAGTGTGTTAGCCGTTTGTTACTGAGGGGACAGCACTACCGTCAAGAGCAACCTAGCATACTCTGTATTGATACCAGCAAGTTAATCATATGGAATCAAAAAAGGAAACGGGAGTTAAAACTGGCTTTCAATATGGCTTTCGTGGGAAGTTTCAGCTATATAGGTTACTGATATTTAGAAATTCAAGCTAAAAGTTCCTTGCAATGTATTATTTAATGGGCAAAAGGGTGGCCCTACAAACATATTCAATCCAAAACACCCTTTTGGCAAACCTCTCACTTGCGTTAGCTCTACCAATACCCTATGGATGTGCTTCTACGTTTGCTCAAATTTACATTTTTTTCACAAAAATTGACATTGTGCATCTGAGCCTGAGGGGGAAGTAACAGCATCTTTTAACACCTATGCAAGTAGTTTCTCTTAAAATGAATTCAGCCCTTGATTTAAAAAAATTCTAAAATACATTGTCCTAAAAATACATTGTCAGTATTTTACAGAGTTTATTAAAAGTGCCATTTATTCATATAAAAAGTCTGAACTAAACTGAAGTCAAAATAAAATGATTTGCAATTCTCTTCATTTTCACAGAAAACCCCCCTATTATTCTCTGAATGTATTTCCAGAAGAACATGTCATCAGCTGCCGAGTATCTTCACAGAAAGCTGGTAATGAATCTCCTCTTTCTTCCACGCAGCATCACCAGGTGGGATTTGCTTTGAGTCTTTTGTCAGTGTTCACTTACTGCTTTGGCTAGCATGAAGTAAAATAAAACATGGTTAAATATTAAAATGCGTACACTAATGCCAAACAGTAAGCACTTTCAGGAAACATTTTTTTTATTAAAGCCTTCTGCAGTTTGACAGAATGAACAATTCACACAGACACACTAAGCGAACAATTATCTCATGATGCCACTGATGCTGGAACTCCTGTGTCCCCTGCATGTTGCTGGTTATTGCAATTATTTTCTTGATAATTTTCCTGAAGAAAATGTAGGGTTTTTAAATATATATATGTAAATATATATCTACACATACACACGCATGTATGTATAATATATATGTAAATATATATCTATACATTCACATGTATGTATGTATATTTATATAGACATGTGATATACATTTTTAAGTCAGTCTGGAATCACAGAATGGTTGGGGTGGGAAGGGATCTCTGAAGGTCATCTGGTCCAAGCCCCCTGCTCAAGTCTAATACCCTGGGACCGTAAGGTTATTTTTCTGGGTTCTTGAGGCCACACATGGGTACCCTATTGGCATGCAAAGATCTCATGTGATAGTGATAATCAACTAGCATATCCCTGGATATAATAGTAGAGTCGAGCGTTTTTCAGACACGGCGAAGATGGTAGCATCTGGTTCTCATAAAGATAAACTGAACCAGAAAAGCAAAGAGCTATTTCCATCAAGCTCTGTAGAGGCTCCTAATGTCTATACACCTCTTCTGATGTAAGTTTGTCATTTTTCACAGGCCTTGTTGAAGGCAGGTCACTGCCCATTTGGACCTTTCTGGTATGTGCTCATTTTTATTTAGATTTTTATTTTTTGCACAGATATTTGACTCAGATTAGTGCCAATGAAAACAAAGGTATTTAAAGATTAACACTATTTGAGGTATTCACTCAATCAACCCTCTTTACTACTTCATCTATGTTCTATCTCTTTCTCCAATATCGGGCAATAATATTAAGCCAAAGGAAATCACAAAGGTGAGAATAATTTCAAAGGAAACTATGGAAGCATGGGGAATGTCTCAACTAGGGGCACACTTAGCAGTTAAGTATCATAATATTTACAGGTTTTCCTATTTCAAATAGAGAAAACTCTGAAAATACTACTGGGAAGGGATGATACAGATTTCTTTAGAAGGACAATGAAATTATCGTAATTTTAATACTTGAAATGGCAAAATAACCTAATCAGAGGCAAAAATCAAGTCTCCTGTTAACACAATTCAATGAAAAACACAAAGGCACAAAAAAGTCAAACACGATATTGCAGAGTTAGTTATAAAGGGCCAAATTTTCAGCTTACCTCAGTTAAGACTGATGTTTGTTCATGTGTAAGATACCAGCCCATAAACAAACCCCCTGCTTACACAACTTTGCACTTTGGATTCTCTTGTGCAGCAACTGTATACGCCATGCGCAGGCAAAAAAACCTACGCACCCCTACAGTAGCCACAGGAGTACACAACACTAGCCACCGGAGTACAAACCGCTGCTGAAAATCTGGCCCCATGCTACCAAGAGTACAGACGTCTCTTTCCTTCACCACAGTAAGATTACGGAAGCATCTTATCTGTAGAGCGACAGCAGTTATTCGAAGACTTTATTAGCCCACATGTTAGCTCATTAGAAGCAATATTTACAAGAATAAAAGGTTTCTGAAAAACAGATGCATGCGTTCATTTGGATCTAATTTAGGATTAGTAAAAACGTTAAAATTCAGCAAGCCACAGCAAAGGTACAATGGCAAATCAGACATGCTGAGAGCAGTTAGTTCTTACTTTTAAGGTGTTTAAACAAATGTGTAGTGAAATCCATTGCTTAAGGGGGAGTGAGGTGGCTGTGGTACAGAAGGTGAGGGTGCTTTAGATGGATAGGTCAACTGCTGAGCTAGAAGGGATCACATACAGGAATTAGGCTGCACAATCAAACATTCATATTGTAACAGAGCCACCTTAATTTTCTACCGCGTGAATAGGAAACCTGATTAGTAATGCAATGAGGTGTTACACTATTTTAGTTACATGGAACACAATTTAAACAACATTTCTACCTGCTGGTTTTTTCTATTAGTTGTATAAATTATGCAGATAAACATTCCTGTTTTGATGAGAATATGGACAATCAATCTTAAGATGGAGTTTCACTGGAACATTTTAAGGCACGCAACACTGATATACCCTAATCAAGCCTTGCTTTTAAAAATCCAGTTCTGGAATAGCAGCTATATTTGCTAATTTGATTTCAAGATTTCACTGAGGTTGTACAGGTTTTCAACATTTCCTTTGTTATATGCCAATGAGCAGAAACAAAGATGATATATAGAAAAATCACACACACAAAAAATTACACTTTGCTTAGTACAGTGCATGATACAGTAAATACATTTTCAGATCTCAGCTTGAAACTTCAGGATAAAGAATACAATGATTAAAACCATCTTGGTTTATAAAACAGAGTAATGGTATAGGATTGGAAGACGATAATCATAAAACTGAAGAGACTGAAACTCAGTCTTAAATTCTGCTTTTACATTTTGGAGGGCCAAAGGTAGACCTAATGCCAAAACACGCAATTTAGGAAATGACTTCTTGATACTCATGCATTTGATTTTAATCTTTCAGATTCTTGGCATGATTTCCATTTAGAAGGTTGATATCTTAACTAGGAACACAGGGAGTCTAAAATGCTGCTTTACAAGGATTAGATAGATGTACAATTTAAGAGAGATTTATGCTATCATAGCATCTTAACATAACTTAACTGCTTCCCCCTGAAAAATGGGAAAAGTTAAGCTTCACAGTCTTTTTCATAAGCAAATCTTTGTAAAAAATGCAGATATTTAGTTTTGGATTTTTAGGTATGGTCTGCTTCGTCAACAAGGAGCAAATGACAACCCATATGTTAAAAATCAAACTACAAAAATAAGAATGTGAAGGAATCTGTAAAATTAGAATAGATGAGAATGTACAATCAGCTGTGCAAAGCATCAAATGCTTTTCTTTTTAATCATTTTAGATCATCAAAAGATAGGCTGTAACTAAAACACCTGAACTCTTTTTATGATTTGTGTATTTTCTATCAAAATCAAACCACTCTGGCTTTTTTTAGAATTCCTTGAAAGGTGTTTGCTTTTAAAGGAGTAAGTAATAATCGAAATAAAAGCAAGACATATTACAAGAAGTGAGTATTTGAGATACAGATGTGGCAAGGAAAACTGTGCACGGACATAAAGGTTTGGGCTTCCTTAAAGAATCAAGTCCTTGGCTACTATGTTAGATTTTTTTAAGTGTCTGAAAGACAAAAGAGCTGGCTGCTACACTTCACAAAGAAAATTAAATTAAAAATCACCTCGCAACTGACTGCAAATTTTTTTAAGCAGCATTTAAACATTTCAGTGCCAATACACATTTTAATTCTCTCTTTGGGGAGAACTCAAGAATTAAGATTTCTGTGGTTACATATACCCAAGAATATGTGGTGATCACACTTTTGAAATAATTACAATTAAAAAATTAAAATATAAACCAAAAAACTGTAGTAATGAAACATAGCTACTACATTCACTATACAACATAAAAAGATCAAATATGTTTCAGTACTGTACAGTTACTGCAACTTCACGCACACCCAGAAGTAAGTTAACTGGCCACATGAAGACTGTTTTTAGTATGGCAGGCACTCTGCTCTTGTTGTACTGACACAGAGGAATAATTTCAAATATGGGCTATGTTCATCTTGGTTGATCTTAGCTTCGGTGTTATCTTTTCCCAGAAGAAGCTAGAACTCATGTGGCAAAATGCTGCGTTGGTTCATACCTCCTGAAACACAAAGTCCCACTCCATAACCAAAGTGTGCAAGTCCCTGTTACAAGGACCTGGTTACTAGAACTGGGACCAGACTGCTTGCGAAGAAGCCATTTTGACACACAGATGCCTGAAGGTCCAAAAGGTTATTCCTGAAACGCTCCCAAGATTTTACAGTTCTGGGGGGGGGGTTTGTTTGTTTTGGTTTTTTATAATGTCTACCCTCCTCACTGCATCATTTTATACCTTCCAGTCCGTTAAATTACCCACAGAACCTCTTCGAAGTCTAAAGATTTGTATCTTGAAAATGTATTCCATCCCCTCAAAATCACATTCCTCTCAGGTTTAGCTGCCACTGCATCTGTGAGTATACAGCCACATTCAATACAGTCTGTTACTATAGACGGATATTACGCATCTGGGTATTGGAATAATCTGTCTTCAATGGGAAAGTCTTAAGGGCTTCTGTGGCAAGTGCCATAAGTTTAAACAGGCAACTTCAGATGAGAAACGTGCCTATTTTATCTCCTTCATAGCTGAAGTTTCCATTATTTCCATTCTCCACTAGGAACAGTGAACTGTGCCAGTTATAAATGGCCAGTCAGATACTTGCTAGAATAGCTGCTGCATGTATTACTGTGTGATACAAATCTCTTGACATTTCTTACTTATTTCAACTATAAAGCAATCAAGAGTGAAAATATCACTTTTAGTAACATATTGCAAAGGATCTATTAATTTCCAGGCATCAAGCAGAATTCATGCACGGCTGTCTCGCTCTGACCTCTAATCTTGGTCACCAGACAGAAACATGCCAATACCCATTTTACAGTGTCTTTTTCAGCCTGTTGTCGTACAGCTCAAGCTGCAAATGATCGCACTCTAATCTCAATCACCAGACCAGGGAATCTTTCTGTTAAAAAAAATTAAAAATCCCTTTGTCTTGATTTTTTTAAGTCACAGATCAATTTACTTTTTAAAAATGAATATAGAAATACCTCATTTAATATAATTATAGGGAATTCATTGAAAATGTTAATTTTTTAGTACTATTAGTACTAAAAAGTACTTTTAGTGCTACAGCAAGTTTCCAAGCTCTGAACTGACTGATCATACTATTTTGTCCCCTTCACCCTGTCCATTAGAGGCCAAATACTCAACGTAAATCTTTAGTCTCTAAATTTGTTATCTATACACATTTTTCACTATTTTGAATATGAATGACTAAAACTTTCTCTTATGCCAGGAGTTCAGCAACAACTTTAGAAACTGGTAAGAAATAGCTGTTATTTTATAAATAACTAAGTATTACCTGCTACTTCCTTGCTCCTTTGAGAGGCTTCAGAAGCCAAAGCGTATGATATGGTAATGATGCGCTCCTGCTCTTGCAGCTGTGAATCTAAATCAACTGAGTTGTGCTTGTCCTGGGTAACAGTAGGCTGTAGATTGTGCATACTAGTGGGAAAGTGCAAAACAACATTAACATTTACAAACATAAAGAAGAATCCACCATGCAGATGAGAACAAGCTTGAATTCATACAGCAGTTTTCAGATCTCATCTATCAAGCTCCGTATTTTATTCAAGTTCTTTAGTGTTAGATATTGTATGTAAATGACTACAGCATACAAAGACAAATGATGCAGCCATTACACATTCAGTCACAATTTCTGCACAGCATTAAGTACATCTGAAAAAGTCCTTTGTTGTAAATATGCTGTTTACATGAAAGCACTACCAAAAAATGCTATTTATTTGAAGCTGTTAGTAAAATTTCTTGTTAGTGCCCAGAGGAAAAGGTATAACCTGGTGGTCCTCAGGCAGAGCCTCTTTAACTGTCTTCCAAAGAGACAGCACATACTTGAGGTAATCAAATTCTTGAAACTGAACGTTTCAGCTGATTCTACATTAGCTGTAAGTAGCCAAAAGTGTTCTTTCAGAACTCCAGCTCTCTGGAGACAACAGAAACTTGCTCTCACACTGATTTTTCTTCTGCTTTTGGCCAGATCTGTGCCCTTCCTTCCTTCTCCTTCCTTCTCCTTCGCTCAATCTAGAAGTTGCTTGGTAAGGACTCACTACTGTTTTAGGATGCTCTGAACAAGAACATGGACATACACAAAGTTTGTCATTATCTCTTCTACCCTGTTTTAAAAAGGAGTTTTAAGTATACTACCTAAATTCTGTGTGCATTTTCTAAATGCTACAAGTTACACTTAGATAATTCAATAGGAATTAGACTGTTGTATGAAGTTAGTTCCCAGTGTTTAACACCAGCCCCTATATAAGATATGAAAAAACCCTGACCTTGATTTAGTAAGAATATTCTTTATCTTTTCTGCTTTACGCTGCCTTGCTGCCAGTTCTTCTGTAGAAAGAGGCTCTTCCGGCTCCAGTTCAACATAGCGTTCTGGAATTGCAACCTTCTCGGGTTTTGACAACTGTGGAAAGAAAGCAAGCACCAAGTTTTTAATAACAAAAACTGAAAAAAAATTGAGATAAATCCTCCTCAATGGGAGAACACAGTGAAAAGAATAAAGCATAGGTTTTCGCAGTCAATACATGTACCTGATGCTAAACTCTCCCTCTGGATATAAGCTGATGCCCTTTTAACAGTGTCTTTTCCCTCTGATTCATTTTACTTCAACCTGGGTAACCTGAGAAAGAAGCTTTACATTCAGAGCTTCAGACCTGCTTCTGAAGTAGGACAGAAAGGCCTATAAGTAAAAATGTTTCCTATCCTAGGCTTAAGGTGCTAATTTGGATGTATGTGATTCACATCGCCCTGGAGGCCTTCTGGAAAAAAAATTAATAGCAGAGTGCAACAAGGAAAGGCAATACAAGGGAAGTATTTTTTCTGTTTCTGAAGTTTACAGGAGCACTGCATTTTCTGTAGAAAATACACAAAGATTAATTGAAAGACACATTCATTCACAGAGATCAACAGATAATGGCTCACAGATTCAACTTCTTACAAATATCACTTTATATAAAGTGATACATTGCCAACAGCTTTCAGAAGAGTAGAGGTGCTTACTAGTCTATCATTAATAATTTTACTGATTTTCCATCTACCATGGCATTTTACACAATGCCTACATAGTACCTACTGAAATCTTTCCACTTGCTATATTCTTTCCTTTCCACCAGATGGCTCAATCGCATTTCAAACAAATACTCAGTTACTAGAGCTGAAAAAAGATCTAGTGCTCAGAACACCAACCAAGTCATTTAAAAAGCCGACAGAAAGGTGTTTTCTGTTCTGACCAGGATAAAGCAGTGCTCCCTCTTATCTACCATGTTTTGCCAGTCAAAATGAAGAGTAAGGTAGCTCTGGGGAACTAACTTTTACTTCATTGCTGTTTCTTTTTTGAAAATATGCTTGATGTTGTCTTCTCATCTTTTTTTCCAATTTATATAACGTTGCCTAACTTAATCACTTCTTCCTCTATAAAGCCTGAGATGTATATTTTAAACAGTACAGCCAACCTTTCAATTTCTTCTCTCCACTAAAACACAATACGAGCAGAAAACTTACAGAGATTCTAAGTGCCAGACCATAAATTTTCAATACCCAAAAGACTCCTTTTAGTTCAAACTTCCAGCTAACTTTTGCAAGAGAAGAATTTGCTACCTAAAACTTAGAAAGGTTAGTATTTTGGGGCACAGAATAGGAAGCAAAAAATTATGAGTGTTACCTCTCTGCTGATATCTAAATCATAGTCTTGAGGCTCCAGGTCTGTCTCTGTCACTGCTACTGGCTGAACTTTTAACCATTCATTTTCATCCTTGTCTTCTCCACGAATTGCCCTCTCAAGTAACTGCAAATCAAATTCTTGCTCTCGTTTCCACTGGTAATAGATACAAAACAATTAACAGCATTCAACCACACTGCCAAATTCATCATTTAGCAATGTACATTACTACTGCTGCAAATGCTCTATTGCTGAAAGAATCCACAGAGCAAACCCCTTAACTGACAAGAAAAAGAAAATGCAACTGTATTTCTTGGAACATACGGTTGGGAGATTTGATCTCTAGCTGTGCTGCACAGATTTTGGAGAATTGTTTAAATTTACAGGTAACGTTCAGCAGTATTAAATTCTAACAAATGTATTAATCACAATTTCACATATGTTGATTAACATGGAACTAGCTAGACGCAAACATCTTTGGAAGCACAGGTGAGCGTATGGACTATTTCTAGACATTCCAACCAGGCAGTGCTGTGTGATTTTGAATCACTACACAGAAAGGGTATTTATATATTGCAGGTTGAGAATTGCAACTTGAAAATCTTATGTATCTTTCTAGAATAATACCTAGTGATTAAAGCTGATAATATTTTACGTACTAGCATTAACTTGTCTTGAATTCAAAAATAATAATTTAGTAAATTCTAAGCCCTTATGTCTTTGCTAAAGTAAAGTATCTAGCTACCTGCAAAGATAAAAAAGAACCTTTCACATTCTGTCTTTACAAGGTAAATATTTAGCAATAATAAATTCAGAACGTATTTAAATTAAGCAGCATAATTTTAGAGTTCCCAAATCATTGCATAATAGCTCCTTCAAAGCTACACACAATACAGCTGCATATAAACTCACGCTTAAGAACACTACCAACACTTTTTTGTTCAAAAAATTAAGTTCAGTTGCAGCATCATTCCGTCCAGATCTCAGCAACTTTACCATACCGAATTGAAACACGATATTAAGAGCAGTGGGAAAGAGAAGAGACAAAAAGAACAACAACAAAAAAATTATGTCCTCAAGCATTTGAGGGTATCAATAGGAGAATGTGCCATTATATGTTTCTTAAAAGCACCTCTAGTATTTCTGTTACAAATCTTTGGCTTGTTTTGGTTGAAGTTTGAACTTCACATGAAGTCCTTAGACTTCATTATGCTACTTGCATTAATAAATCTAATTGAAACCTATTCATGCACAAGCTCTCAATATTCACTCAGAAGACACATATCTTCCACGTATATGAAAAAAGTTAAATAGCTAAAAGGCAATTATATCTCAAAAATTAAATGTTTCTTTACAGAATTCAAAAGAGAAAAAAAATGTTTTCTCATAAGAGTACTCCAAACTCATTCTTCTACTCATATTCAAACCAGGCCTGATTGACATAGTATGTTTTAAATACACAGCATCATTTTCAAGTTATTATATATAGGTAAGAAAAACATCAAACCATTATTACGAAGCAGTATTTTTATTGGCTTTGATGTTGCGACTTTTACATTAAAAAGGCATTGTATATAACAAATGAATTCATGTACTGTGATCAATACCTAAAATGTCATACTACACTTAAGAGCTGACCGATTAAAAATTAGAGTTACACATACAACGTATGTTTAAAGCAAATGTTACATACTGAGCAGCACTTCAATTATACATTTAACTGTTTGCCATTTTGGCTGCTAAATAATTGTAATGCTGTAAGTATTTGTGCTATCAAACATGCTTTTTGCGTATTGAAGCCCTATAGGTACAAGAGATGACCTCTACAAAACATTGCTAGGGCTGAAAGATTCTTTTAAATTCTTTACAGCAAGAAAAAGACCAAGATGGCACCCAAATTTATAAAGTGTTTGCCACAAGTGTTAATAAGGAGTGTTATGAAGATGTTTAAATTCAACTTGTGTATGTTATGTGAGTCAGGAAACGTAAGAAGCTCAGATTTAGTTCTTCCAATTACAATATGAAAATAACAGTGATACTGTAGTTCTACAGTTCCCACATATTATGCACTATCTTTAATAAATTTGTGATTGCAAAACAGAAGACAAAATAGATGAATGTCTCCAAGTAGTGCACTCGTATTTACTGGGAAAGTAAATACAAATAACTGGCTGTAAATTAGTGCTACTGAACAGTGGGAATGAAAGGCTGAATATTATAAGGTTTTTTAAATGCTAGCATTGACACACATGTACTAAATGCAATTAAGCCTGGTAAAAATTGAGTAGTCCAGTTAGAAATTTTAAAATAACTACAAAATACTGCAAATTAAAAACAAGCAAACAAAAAAGAGGCGTTAGGTATGATGAGTGACGAATCTAAAAGCAAGAGATCTTGTGCAATGAATTAGGTAAAACAAGGTGATTATTCTAAAGCTCTGGTGGGCCAAATAAAAAATAAATTAAAAGACCACAGCATAAGTGCAATTACAGTACAATCTTGGTTTAGCACCAAGTGAGCGACTGGGTAACTTCACCAATTAGAATCGCTTTGGTTAGTATCCAAAATGTATCATTACAAACTTATCGTCTGTACAGCATTTAATCTCAGAACGCAACAGAAATCCTTTTCTTCAGCAGCTTAAATTTGAGCCTTATTAGAATATTCTACATTTTGAGCTTTAAAGAAGAATTTATATCAATTAAAACACATTAGCTCTTACATAAATTTCTAGTCAGCGTGATCAGATTTTAAAACTGATTATTCATTTAGCATCTCTTTAAAAAAAACACACACCACCTTGGTCTGATTATTATGACAACTATCTTGCAGCCTAATTTATGAATTAAAAAGAAAAACACCCATGGTGAATTAAGAACATTCTAAAAGGCCCATTCCATTATGAAGCAGTTTTAAAACTGTACAAGCTTCTTACACTTTCTAAATACAATTCCAATAGAAAACAATCATGTGTCTGAAATCACTCCAGTATACTCACATCTCCACTCAGCACACTAACCTCTGACCAACTTACCTGCTGAACCTGCTACGTATACTGTAACTACTAGTAAAAAAAGATCATCTGTTACTCACACTCTCTGAACTCATTTTATACGGTATAACACTAATTTAATTAGACTAGAAGCATCACACACACTCAAGTGAAAGTGCTTGCTAGGAAAAAAAAATCCAAAGATATTTTTAGTTTAGTCCTTTTAAGGCATATCTAACATACTGAGCCTATGTCTGCAGAAATGGGCCTGATGAAAGACCGAGATGAAACAGACTGCCTTTCTCCTTGGCTAAGAGTTCTCTTGCGTTCACGAACTAATGCCTTCTGATGTCGCTTCATTCTTTCTAGTTGTTCCTCTGCACTCATCTTGCCTCTTTGGTGGTCTCCAGAGTATAAACGTTCCAAGGCACTCTTTGGTCTCTCCTGTAGAAGTCACAAGGCACACATGTTGTAATTAATACATTAATTAATTTTGTGTAATTACACAAAACACGTTGTAATTAATACTTTATAAGAAGTATACAAAAAATTAACTCTTTCTCCTACCTTATTACTAAATGAAAAAGATTTTTTTCTATTATTTTTGCATTTATTTGCATATTTCAACTCTATACTTTCTATTAGTACCGCTGATTTTTGGTTCTAAACCTTCTTTTACAAATCTATTTCAAATGCAGTAAGTTGTCTGTCTGCTTCCTGATTCATTTAAGAAAGAGAAAAACTGGAGATTTTACTAGATTCACAGGTGTTGGGTCCTCTCCCATACTACTAAAATCCCACTTCCTGCTATGCAAAATATATTCTGGGCTTAACTATTTTGAACAGTTCAGACATTTGTCTTCAGATTTGATTTAAAACTTACCTTGGACCTATCCCTTCGAAGTGTTGCATATGATGAAATGGTAGATGATTGGTGCAATCTGGAAGTTGATCCAGATAAACCTTGATAAGGAAAAAGAGAATGCTTTAAAACCAAATGACAGACAAAAGGAAGACAAGTGTCAAATATTTTTTTAAATTATCATACTTTTTCTATGACATTCCGGTTACTATTTTAGCTCACGTTTCACATTTTGCAGTTCAGAAGACCATGGGAGGCATAAAATTTCATTTCAGCCAAAAGTAATGTGTTTCAGGTCACTACTGATCAACATTCAGAAATATCTACAATAATTTTGAAGCTTATATTAAATGAGGTATGGGGTGAACTCAGCTGTACAACAGGAGATAAGCTGTACAAATAATCACACTATGAAGAAAATCAAACCTTAACATTCACAGGTAGAAAGGAAAGAAATAAGAAAAGAATGGCTAAGAAATTAACTGCTCTTCCCCAAATACCCTCTCTATCCTCATTTGTGAAACAGTTACAGGACTGTAGCACAGTGGGGATGGAGTGTCAAGTCACATGTAGTGTCTGGGGGTATTATGTTCTTATTCTTTATCACTTTCATTTCAATGGCAATAAAAGTGTTTAAAAAAAATAGTTGAGTTTGTAAAAGATCACACAGAAATTATGAGGAAAAATAACTGTGAATATAGGAGACATTCTAACAGCTAATTTCATGTTTTGCTATGCTTTTTTTTGAGCATTATATATTAAGTTGCTTTGCAAAAGGCTGGTTGTCTGTAACGGCACCATTAAAATGCAGAAAATGTCTAGACTTTCACAGCATTATATAGTTAATCTAAAAATAATGACCTGATGATAAAGACCATCTCCAGAAAATCCTAGGAGAGAAAAGCTCCTATACAGACAGTACTGTTAAAAATCAACTACATAAATTCCTGGCTTACCACGGGTAGGTAATGTCTGGTATCCACTGTCAGAGCTTATTAAACCACTGGAAGGTTGGCTGAGGTCACCACCTATCGTTGCTAGTTCTGGTTCACTCATGTATGAACGCAGTTCCACCTATATGGAAAAATATTCATCAGTTCAAATGAAATCACAGACAGCAAGTTTTAATAAACTTAAAACAAATCCTAAAGCTTTGTTTCTGGATTACTAGATCTCTCTCTGCTGTTATTATACGGCATAGATCTCTCCCTGCCATTACTATCTCTCTGCCATTATCTCTGTCTCCTTATTACAAGACCTACAGACAATACCTTTTATTATAGGTTCACGTATCTTTAAAGTGCAGGTGTATAGGTGTATGAGCACTCACCCTATAATCTCCATTAACATACTGTCCGAGTTCTCTGTCTCTCTTTCTTTCATCTGACTGACGTTTCAGGCCCCGCACCGATGTGTGTCTGATGACAGTGGCCTCTCTCGGGAGAGGTGGAACAGCTGGTGGCTGATCATCGGGACTGTACAACTGAGGGAGAGGAGGTCTGGGCGGTGCTTCATCTTCCTGGTGACAGGAAAGCACAGGTATTTGGCAAACAGTGTGAAAACAGTTTGGCATAAACTGACTGAAAGTTCATTACATTATATGAGTTATTTGTGACTGCTTTAGCATGCTCTCTGTCCGCACCAGGAGCTTGAGGCTTTAGAAACCAAAGACCCAAGAAAGCAAAGAACTAATCAACCACAAAGCATTACCAAGGAAGGCTCTGCATTGGTATGTTCTAAAACAGTACACAGCTACTGTACATAAAGCTCCAGGTTACGCAGCTATATTCTCCTGTAAGTGCTATTGCTCAGTTTCAATACAAACACCTTAAGTGTCTTCCTGTGCACACTGTGTAACCATGAAACTTTCACTGTTTCTGCCAGAAGTAAATGGAGACATTGGTGAATGAGTATCACAAGAGCAGTACTTACAACCTTTGGCTTTAGCTTAATTGGTGACTGAAGAGGTGGCTCGATTTTTTTCAGCTGCTGTGCTTGATGCTGTGTTCTGGCCTGGAAATAAGGCTGTGGATACAGCCTAACCTCCAGAGAGGATTTAACTGGACTGGGTGGAGGGCTTTGCGGGACTGAAAGTTTGCTCTCCGCAGTTGCAAGGGAAGCTGGTAAGGAAGGCACTGAAGACTGAGAAAATGAAGGCACTATTTTTCTCTCTAGGGGAGAAATATGCAAATGTTTAGGTGTTGTTTCTTATCAGTAATGTTCGTAAGAAGAGCAATTAACATCCTTAGACTTCATAAAACAGCCCTAATACTCCGGCACATCACTTTCAACACAAACGGGGAGTTTTCTGGACATAAAAATGTTTGACTGTTACATTATAGCAGGGGTGGAAAACATTTTCTTGATGAGGATCAAGCAAGCCTTTCAGGCCAAAAATAAAAACACACACTTTAATATCATCCAGTAAAATTCCTTGGAAAGGGCGGTGGGAGGGAAGGAAGGAAAAGCCCAAGAGTCATACGAAATCAGTTCTTAGGCTGTATCTGGCCTCGTGCCACAGACTCCTTAAGATGCCTATAGATCTAGACAAGGCTAAGCACTCAAAGCAATACCTTAAATAAGATCTCCCCATCTCAGAACTGTTTTATCTCTGTATGTAAAAGGTAAGCAAAGTTACTTCATATTTAAAATGAATTTACAGTAGGTGTTAACAGCCTCTTGCTATCCCAATGGGCTAGGTCTTTTCTTTGAAACATAATAAAGCAACTGAAATGCAGACCACACACGCTTTCCCTTCCTCTTTTACATAGCTGATGTTGTTGCTCTGCCCACCAAACACCTGCCTGAAGAGGGAGGGGGAAGGCAACTGCAGCAAGGGCAGTTGGGCAGCATCCAAGGAGGGGGGGAAGAAGAAGAAGAAGAAGAAGAAGAAAAAAAAGCAGAGAAGAACACAGAGAGGAGCTCCTGGACAGAACGCACAATAGCTACTACGCTGGTATGAGCGTGGTATGTGACAGAAACTCTTTTTGCAACTTGAAGAACTTAGCCCATTATTATTGTTCCCTTTTTTATGGCTTGTTATATTTTAGTGCCATCAGTACATGAAAAAACAAACAACAAAAAACCTTTTTGCTGCCTCAACCAAAGAAACGCCAAGTTAATGTGCTCAATCAACAGAGTTTTCTGTTGCAACCAAAAGCAGAATTAACTGAATTTTCTGCAGTAGAACAAACTTCTAGACTACTTGCACAGATCCAAAGATTCAGCTGCATTTGTATATTTTTTATGTTTTAATTATGCTCTCCTTACCTGGATTCTTGATAGAGTCTACTATGGTTTTGTAGTTTGTTTTATTTGCACTCAAGCCAGCTGTAACATCTTCAATTCTCCACAAGTCTTTCTGTATTTGTGTTTTCTCCTGAGGTTTGTAGTAAAAGAAAAAAAGAAAAATCAGTTACATCTCATATTTAATTTATTATGGGCTTATCCTTCTTTTGATACCAAAACCAAACTAATGTTTCAGAACTTACATGAAAACTCAGGAGTCTAGAAATGAGTTAAATAATTATTTTAAAATTTAAAAAAAACCGCCACCACCACAAACTAACATATCTTGCCCGTAAAATTTATTAGGGCATTTTCTGAGTCTTGGAAGACTTCCTATAGAAGACTGGGGGAAAGAGACACCTCTACATTTTTCTCTACAATATTATTCAGGCTACATAAAATGAGCTTAAAGAACCTTTTCATTTGAACTTTGTTCTTAAATCCTATACTAACACACTTAAGACTGCTAAGGCAGCCTTACGAAACTCATCTTAATACATTTACAGGAAATGTCTAATATTAAAAAAAGCAAAAAATTAGTATAGTGTCCCTGAACACTGCTGTGAACTTCCAAATGGCTTTTAATGGATGAAATATAAAACGAAAACTAACTCAGAAGGGCTGACAAATTTAATTTCTGCTTATATTTCGGTTGTTAGGCCTACTGGACATGATGTATTATAGGTTGAAACAATATATTGCTGCTGCTCCAGGATTTCATCTTATCTTGCATCCTGTTTGCTTTACTGAGGCTTTCCAGGAGGAAAGAAAGGGAAGCTTTGTCTACAGTCTGGACTCCGCCTTTGATTGCGTCTTGCAGCCAGAGACCTTGGCTACTGAAGCCACCACTTCAGTCAGATGTTCACTGCAATCATCATAAATAGCTATTCTCATCTACTTAATCAAAGCCTGGTAATTCTGCCTTCAAAAACTGGCATTAAGAATAAACTTAATATAGTTTTCCTCTTGGTTTTACTAAAGAAAGCAGAAGGCAGTGAAATACTGTAGTTAAGAATTGCTGAGAAACTGCTCAAGAACTCTAGAAATCCATCACTTGCCATGAGCTGCAAAATAACCGCTAATTAATCCTATAAGCCTGAAAGTGAAAACCTTTAGTAAAAGCTCTTACACCTCATAGAGCTAAGGAAGGCATATAAATTGCTTTCCACTTTCTGTCTTAGATCAGAAAATATGTTTAGCCAGGTTATAGATCAGCAAACAGGGTGCCAAGAACACAAACATTTAAATGCAGAACGTTATTTGCCTGTAGTAAACTCGCTCGATAGATGGGATACATCTTGAAAGGTTGTCAGGATATGAACTATAAATTTGCACGTTTCATTTCATTTTTCTGAGATTAATCACACTACACGGAACCAAATTATGGATTTACAATGATCAAGCCTCAGAACTGGTTAAAAACCCCCCACATGTACAGAGAAATCCTGTTTCTGAAACCACCCAGAAAATGTTCAATCAGTAACGTACAAAAGCCAGATGATCTTTTAATATTATATCTTCCCATTACGTAAATATTGATGTGAAGAGAATATTTTAGATCAAAAATGGACTAGATCTAAGAGATAAACAGATGAATTTATTTTTAAATTATGAAAGCCAAGGTTGCTGTTCACAAAAGGGTATAAATACACTTTATGGGCAAGCATGAAAAGGTAACTTGGAGAGATAAATCAATTTCTTTAACTTCCTTTACACAGAAACATAATTTAGAATGATTTATAAAAGAGGAGAAACACTTACCAACTAAAAAGTTATCACTGACAAAATACCACATCTCAGCTAAGTTCAGCATGCCCAGATCTCTCCAACCCTTAACCAAAAGACAATGAAGCTACACTCTTAAAACCACGATTTACTCTGACCGAGCTGCTTGAAATGTTTAGTTTTTAACCTCTTAATTAATGCTACATAGAAACAACATTAGCTGTCTCCTACAGCAACTTAAGCCAGCAAATTTATTGAGTTTTTAATAATATTCCATGAAGCCTGCATTTTTTTAAAAATACAGTGTGCATTAATTTAATGCTATTGGAAAATACTAAACAATCTTGAGCCTACATACCCTTGGGCAGAGATCAAAAAAACCCTCTAACTATTACAACCCTCACTTCAAGTGAGACTTCTCTGAAGTAATATAGTTTTAAGAACATTCAGTACTTTCTGAAAAAATAAGCTCCCCTTAGTATGTCCAAAATAGGTATTCAGAAACATTTTTTAAAACCTTAGCCAAAGACAAATATATCTAGGCATACATATATAAACATATATATGTAAGTATACACACACAACACATAACATGCATAAGTTTATGTGTGCGCGCGCATGTATTTTTTTTATAATTACGCATGCATGTGATACGAGATGATAATAAAACTGAGTTAACTTTTTTTCTGTGCAAACCGCATTCCCTTCTATACGTATTGCTAAATCACATGCCACATATCCAGTATTTTAAGGATGCTCAATGCACAACTGGAAATTGTTTGTCAAAGTACTTTAACAAAATATATTTTGTTTAAACCTGTAATTTCCCTTTGTTAAACAAGTAACTTCATACAGAGACGATGTTATTCTAGAATACCCCTGGGATTTTTTGGAGGTATGTATTCTACAGCTGAGCTCAATTACATAATATTCTGGCTCTAGAAACTGAATCACTCCCCCACTTCCCAAAATTAAAAGTAAATGAAAATGGACTTTGAAGATTGATGCAATATAAAAAAGTTTTACAACTCTTGCTTTGATACAAAACATTCATCCATTAATAATGAAAATAAATAACTTCAATTCATACCTGATCAGATATTTGTTCAGCTGAGCTCAATTACATAATATTCTGGCTCTAGAAACTGAATCACTCCCCCACTTCCCAAAATTAAAAGTAAATGAAAATGGACTTTGAAGATTGATGCAATATAAAAAAGTTTTACAACTCTTGCTTTGATACAAAACATTCATCCATTAATAATGAAAATAAATAACTTCAATTCATACCTGATCAGATATTTGTTGCAAATAAATAAATTTATTTAACTAGTGAGCTCTTTTGGTCCAGGATATTTGGAAAAGTAGGCTAAGATTTGAGCAAACGTATACATTTAGCTTTGTTCCTTGTGTTTTGTCTTTTAAATAAAACTGTTCTGCTTAAATATAAACATATATATGTAAGTATACACACACAACACATAACATGCATAAGTTTATGTGTGCGCGCGCATGTATTTTTTTTATAATTACGCATGCATGTGATACGAGATGATAATAAAACTGAGTTAACTTTTTTTCTGTGCAAACCGCATTCCCTTCTATACGTATTGCTAAATCACATGCCACATATCCAGTATTTTAAGGATGCTCAATGCACAACTGGAAATTGTTTGTCAAAGTACTTTAACAAAATATATTTTGTTTAAACCTGTAATTTCCCTTTGTTAAACAAGTAACTTCATACAGAGACGATGTTATTCTAGAATACCCCTGGGATTTTTTGGAGGTATGTATTCTACAGCTGAGCTCAATTACATAATATTCTGGCTCTAGAAACTGAATCACTCCCCCACTTCCCAAAATTAAAAGTAAATGAAAATGGACTTTGAAGATTGATGCAATATAAAAAAGTTTTACAACTCTTGCTTTGATACAAAACATTCATCCATTAATAATGAAAATAAATAACTTCAATTCATACCTGATCAGATATTTGTTGCAAATAAATAAATTTAAAAATTTAATTAGTGAGCTCTTTTGGTCCAGGATATTTGGAAAAGTAGGCTAAGATTTGAGCAAAACGTATACATTAGCTTTGTTCCTTGTGTTTTGTCTTTTAAATAAAACTGTTCTGCTTAAACACAGGAAAAATAATCCCAACTGTATTCCTTGCTCTAAGAATAAAATCACCAGTTGCAAGTAGGTATGTAGAAATAATCTGGTATGCCACATCCAGTTCAGCAAACAGAATAACTTATCTTCAAACAAAGCTTCTTTGTAAGATTCAAAACTGAATAATTGATTTAAAACTGAGATGCCTTTCAATTACCGATGGCTGTTAAACACCTATTCCACTTCACAAAACAATCTGCAGAGATAAGTCTTCCATAAATAGATGAACATGACAAAGAACAAACAATGACAATAACAAGCTAGCGACTGATGTTCTTAAAAATGGATAAAGAAGCCAACAATGTCAGATCAAATAAATGGAAGACTAAGAAGTCCTGCATAGTCTTATAAATTAAATACGTTATCAGTGTCAAGATGTCAGCATGTAATAAAAACATAATAAAATAATGACAAATTTGCATAGACAACTTATGAGAAACTATTACACATGCTGCAAGATAGCGAGTTACCACGCAGCTATGCTGTTAGAATGTCTGAACTTTGCAAACTAAGCTACATGACAGCTGAACACAGTGCAAAAATTGCGGAGAACTTCTTTTATGAGATGATAGCTTTCAAGTTCAGACAAAATCATCTCATAAGTAAACCAGTGTCTGGAAATGGACTTACCTGAGATACCAATGAACTATTCATCTGTTCCTGTAAGGCTTTTTTCAGCTGGCTCACATCCTTTTCTAATTTCAGATATTCATTCCAGGCATTTTCCATTTCCTATTAACAGAAGGAATACTCTAATACAATGTTACGATAAACTTCGAAATCACTCTATCCATTCTCTAATTGAGCACCAAAGTGTTTTTAAGATGGCAGTGTTCTATTACAAAAAGAAGCAAAAAATCCATTTTGTAGTCTACCTTTTTGCTTAGAGTTGATGATAAACTTCAAAATGCTTTATAGCTTGCAAGATCAAGTCAAGAATCCCTCGTTAAAAAATTCTGGCCAGCTTCCTCACACAAAACTATTTCTTAAGCATAGAACTGGCATTTAATAGTATTTGAACTATGACTAATATGCTATGAAGGAATCAAGTCTATTCCAGTTTCACTTCCTTTTACCTTACTCCTCTATTTAAAACAAGTTTATAATTAAAATCCAAACAGTCACCTAAAGCAGAACTCACGTTTTGAATTATTGAGTCACAAAGCAGGTTATTCTTTGAAAGTTCTACAGACTGTGTTGTAATGTCATTAGAACTGAATAAACAAGCAGACACATGGAAAGTAAGGCTATCCAATCACCCTTACTTTACTTAGATTATTTCCAGCATCCATGGCACCGCAGTCTGCCTTCTGACCCAGAACTGAGAAAAATCAAGTGTTTGGAGCATTTTTATGTAGGGAATGATGAAGTAGGCTTTTTCTCTGAAGTCTAGAAAAGAGATCACTTGGAAGTTGAGGGGAAGACTCATTATGGAGGTCTGTGAAACCATGAGTGGCCTGGAGAGAGTGGTAATGACTGACCATTCCCCATCCTTTCTTATACAAGAACAAGAGTATACCACATGAAACACGTACAAGTCAGGCTCAAAACAAATAAAAGAGAGTGGCTGTCCACGCAGTGGGGAAAATGATCTGTGCAATGCCTTGCCAAATGATGTTTTGGATGCAAAAGGTTCACAAAATTTAATAGGAGACTGTACAGGTTCTTGGAAATGAAATCTACTGAGGATTACTAAATAGACAAAAAAAAAAAAAGTTACCAGCCTCAGGGATTCCCTGAGCAGAAAATAGTTAGAAGCTGAATTGGTTATGACAGGAAATACTACCCACCTCTCCTATCCTTACTCTTCCCTAAGCATCTGCTTATGCCCACTGCTGAAGCCAGAACTCTGGCTAGAAAGAGCCTTGGACTGGACCAGTACAGCCATTCTTACATTACTTGGTATTTATGCCCCCGATTAAATTTTAAATGCTGTCTGTGAAAGTCATACATTTTCTACAGGCACAGAACACTGCATATATATATATATATTTAAAAATAATATTGGCATTTTAATGATCAGATCTTACTATAGGAAAGGTGTTCATGCAATTCTAGAAACAATCTTATGAAGAGCTGGTCCCATATTCATTAAGAGGCAGGAATAATATACTGAGTACACAACACCCAGGTTTAATAGATTTCTCTTTCATGGTCAATTTTTAGAAATTTTTTTTAATAAAAATGCAACATTAAATTGCATTTCAATTTAATTAAGTCATAATATCAACACCAAATTTTGACTGAAATATCAACAGACTTTCCCAATTCCTTTTGCCCTGGAAAAATACCATGGAATCACATTTATATTTTCAAAGGACTAGCTGAAAGATTCACAATATAAGCCCCATACATAAATGAAAAAGGTATAAAAAAGTTTTTTGAGCTTTTTTTTTTTTTTTTTTTTTTTTTTTTTTTTTTTTTTTTTTAGGGGGGTGAGGGGAAGGGGACATTGATAAGAAAAGCTGGAGAGATTGCTTAAATTTTTTTGTTCTGGTTTAGTATCCTGTACCTTAACAAAATCAGTTCAGAACAGGACTTAACTCCCCTATCCAACAAACTATACAGTTTTACTCTAACTGGTATTTTTAATTATGGTTTTCTTGAAACAACCAAAAACACATACCGTTGAAACTTTGGATATTTCAGCCCGAATATGTATGAGATCCTCTTGCAAAAGTCTCTGCTGGTAAGAAATTTTTTCTGCGTGTTGTGGTTGGTCTTTGTACTGTTCCATCTGCCTGTGTAAAACCTCCAAAACAGACTCCAGCTGATCCTAACAAAGAAGAAGATGGTGGTAAGCTCACAACATTTACATGGAATTTTATGGATCTACCTGTGGGAAAATAAAAGTTGTTTTCCACCTCCCCAGTCTTTCCTATAAGCCACTAGAGGTTAGAATTGGCCTCCTGTTGTGGAGACGAAGATGTAAACGAAAAAGTGCAAGAGCCTTAATTAACAATTATAACCAAAATTATCTGATATTTTCCATTAAATCCTTCCATTAAGTAGCCAAAACTGCAGAAAACACAAAGCAGTGAGAGGGGAATTTTTCTCTTTACAGTCTGTACAAAACTGTAATGTACAGTTTCAGAAAAATTCCCACTAAGCAGTATAGAACTGTAACAGCCCTACCACTGTAGGGCACAGCATTAGCTGTTTATTTAAAGATAAATTCTCATTCACTGTTGTAGTTAAATTAGCCACGTGAGGGATTAAAATACTGTCTAAAACACTAAGTAGGCCCAATTCATTCAGTCAGGAGTAAATAACACTGAATCATTTTTGCACAGTAGCTCTTCTGAAGGATCCATGTGGACAGCACTTTCATTTTAGAATAGATTTTTTTCTGAACCACCTCGTTTTATTGACAGCTATAGCTCACAGGCAGTGAAGCAGATAAAGATACATACAGGCAGGGAAAGACAAGGAAAGGCAAACTGTTTTGTTATTGTTTACTATTTGAACTCTGTCTTGAATGGGAGGAAAGGAGGTGGGTTCCAACTACAAACTTGTCACAGGAGATATGCCAGCATTTCAGTCGTAATCCTCAGAAGTAAGTTCACAGTACTATATATAAACCACCATAGGTTTCTGAAATTACTACAAATTTGAATGTCTCTCCCTTCTCTCACTCCTTTTAAAAAACAAAACAAAACAAAAACAACAAACAAACTAACCCCAACAAACCACCACACAAGTTACAGTGAGGGCCCAATATGGTAGCACGCTGCTATTTATGCAGTGTTTGTGCAGGTGGGAAGAACTGCAAATGAAACATGACTCCACCTCACACCATGTACATATTAAGACATAAAGCAAAACCACACAGAAAAGTCTACGTACTCCAATTTGTAATAAATGCCAGAAAATTAATGTATCTGGTTTTAAAACATTAATGTTCAAAAACATGTTTTCTAAAAGTGGGTACTCATCCTAACATAAAAAACAATTCTTTTCCTTATATAAGTTTATACATATGCCCAAACAAAACTACTACAATGCAAGCAGCATCCAGTAATTTGATTTTTTGTAATTCCATATTTTATGATTTGATTAAAGTTTTTATTTTATTTTATAAAACCCTGTTTAATCTACTTACTTTATTTTCCTTAAGGGCTCTTATTTTGTCCTCCAAGTCCTGCAGAATTCTGTCCTGCTCACAGAAAATGCTTAGCTTGACCTGAAAATGAAATCATATAAATATATAATGTTAGATTTTAAAAACCAAGCAGAGAAGTCTCCACTAGCAATATTTTACCCCAAAGAGCATAATAATGTGAACACGTAACAGTGCAACATAAATAGCCAAAACAATGCAAGAGGTTCTGAAGTGGTATTTGATACTTACATCAATATCACTTTCTGCAATCTTGACAGGTTTTGTACTTCGTTCTTTTAATGTGTCACGCCCTGTCACCTAAGAGGAATAGGTTTTAAAGATTGAGAAATTTGTCGCAAACTAAAACCTAATTATGCTTCAACAATGAAAAGTGTTGTTAAATATTCGTGGTTATTAACAAAGATGAATAAAATTCTGGATACAGGTCTTTTAAATACGGCTTTAGTTTTTAAAAAATGTTATCAGAAAGGATTACTAGTTATATTAGGCTACTCTTAGAGTAGCTTAAAATTCTGTACAAAACCAGCATGATCCCACTTGTCTATGGTTACAAAGGTCCTGTTTCTGCAAAGCCTAATAGTTTTAACATTTCGGCTTTAATAGCTTTATAGAAGCCAAAGGACTTGAATAGTTCCTTTAAATGCACGGTTGCAAGAATAACAGCATTAATGAATGACTAAAAATACAACTTTTTGGCAACTATTTCATTCTACAAAAGATAGTCTCTTCCATAGTACAGGGTGAATTTTATTAAAAACAGACTGCTATAAAACTGCTATAGTGGAATTAAAGATAATGAATCTTTTTTGATATGTTTATAATATAACAAATCTCTTATTCCATAAATCAATCGTTTCATATTCAATTTCTGGTGAGAAGATTATCTTCTCACATAATGCAGTTTTTAAATCAGTACAGAAACTATACTATATTATACTTCCAACCTTCACAGCAATCTTAGAATGAGAGGCATGTCTATCTCTGTAGAAAAGTTTATTATTTCCACTGTCTACATGGGACCCTTTTTGTAAATAAATGAGGTTAAGAGAATGGCAATATAATACAGGTCATTAATCATACAGTTTTTAAAAGCCTTAAAATCTAATGACTTAGTATTACTGATGAGAACATTTTTAAAGATTCATTAAAGCCAATACTATCTTACCAAAGAAACATCTGATGTTTAGAATTACAGTACTCATATCCAGTATATTTCTATTCATATACAGGCAAGAGGAAAAATTCACCTAAATATTGTGTTTAATAATGCAAGACCAGAAGTTTTAATGTAAGAGCAGAAGTTGTTGGCTTTTTTGGTGGGGTAGAAGCGGTAGTTTGCTTTTTTTCTGAATCTGACTGGCAATCTCCAGATGTGAAGCTACATAGGTTACTTATTAACCTAACAAGCACCTACAGGATCATGCTAGCTTTCTTAAAGTAATTACATTTTACTGTAAGTGTAGATAAATCTTTGATACAACCTCAGTTTCTCATTTGACATGTTATATGAAGTTGGCCATCTACACATAGTATTTTCAAATAACAAAGTAGGTTTAAGACAGAAGAGTATGGTCATCATTTATGTTTACTGTCTTCTCTCCTCCAATGGCAGACTCTATCCAAAGACTTATCATGTGTCTTCACATAGTGAAATGCTACTTCCCCACCACCAAAATCAAAAGCATTTACTGCCTCTCAAAACTTTCAATTTTTGGATATTTTAATTTTCAACAATGATGTGTTTTATATAAGAAAAACCCTTTCTTTCAAAAGCATTAATGGATTATTTAAATGCTAAATCCTACGTATAATAGTAACAAATAATTAAATATAAGCATAAATACTAGCATGTTAAAGTAATAATTTTGCATATTTAATTACCTGCAAGCTAGGAAAACGCAAAAGCCTTTTTCAATCAATGTAATTAACATAAAAAACAGAGTCTACAGATTTTGGGGATATTTTAAATTACATAATCAGAACTGTAAAGAATTTGTTAATTATCAAGCCGTGAACATGAGAACATAATGAAGATTTAGCATGCTTTCACATGTTCAAAATTACACATAGGAGTTACTACTTGACACAATCATTTTTGAAACATGATAAAATGAAACCAAACACTGAGGTCAGCCATAATTTTGCATACAAACTCCAAAGGCGGGGGGCAGGGGAAAGGAAAGAAAAAATAAAATCTTACAGAAAGCTTTACTGTTTACCATAAGACACCTGTAAAAGCCAAAATATGTAAACATTGACTGCTATTTTAAAAAGCAATGGGATGAGCACATTTCAGATGCAAGCAGTCTTACACGTATACTGGATAGTAACCCTTGTGCTGAGTTCTTTAGCACTTTGTATATCATGTTGATCAGAGGTCCATTATTTTCTATCTGTTTCAAACAAAAGTTTAGTAATAGCTTGTTAAAGATGTGAAAATTAAAACCCCCAAACCTTACAACTCAAAACTCCACGAGCAGCAGTAATCACACGCTCTTATGTCACACCAATCCTTGAGGCTTATAGGCTATACAATTTGCCATCATGGAAACTACAACTGGATATCCACCCATCTTGATATATTGTGGGTAGATTGTTCATCCAGCCATAAGACATTTTATTTTTGCAAAGCACACATACAAACACACCACACAAAATAGGATTTGCTCAAACTTGCCCAATTGCAATTTTAAGAGTATTGGGAATTACAGCAAGATATTTTCCGTCATGTAGCATGTAGTAACACTTGCACCAAGTGCTCTATATTGATAATTTGAGCAACCTAGTTAAAACCTCAGTGAAAAAAGTTATTTCAATCACACTTACCCATCCTCCCATAACCAATACCTGCCATGCATTTTTTCCTTCATCATCTATGTGACACAAGCTTGCACTAGCAACGTCTTTCAAATGCAGTAGAAACTAAACAGCTTCAGATATTACAGCATGACTGCAGAAGAATGAAGCAGGACCACTGCCGAACCGCTGGGAGGGCCCCAGATTTGCTTCAATGGGTAGCACAATTTATACTTAGTGACAGAAACTTTCCTATACTTCCTCATCTATGTTTTGTATAACCTGCTCAGGAACGTGTGTTAACTATTCTGAAGTGAGGCTGCCCATCCATCCCTCCTGTAGCCTGCTTGAACTTGATTACATAGTCACGAAAAGGGACACTTCCTTCACCACTTGTGTTTCACCCTATTTGCAAAATAAGGTGCAAATAAGGTGAAGGCCAATCGTATCCTGGGCTGCATCAAAAGAAGTGTGGCCAGCAGGTCGAGGGAGGGGATTCTGCCCCTCTACTCCGCTCTGGTGAGACCCCACCTGGAGTACTGCAGCCAGCTCTGGAGTCCTCAGCACAGGAAAGACATGGACCTGTTGGAGCGCATCCAGAGGGTGGCCATGGAAATGATCAGAGGGATGGAACACCTCTCCTATGAGGAAAGGCTGAGAGAGTTGGGGTTCTTCAGCCTCGAGAAGAGAAGGCTTTGGGGAGACCTTATTGCAGCTTTTCAGTACTTAAAGGGGGCTTATAAAAAAGATGGGGACAGACTTTTTAGCAGTGCCTTTTGCAATAGGACAAGGGGTAATGGTTTTGAACTGAAAGAGGGTAGATTCAGACTAGGTATAAGGAAGAAATTTTTTTTACACTGAGGGTGGTGAAGCACTGGAACAGGTTGCCCAGAGAGGTGGTAGATGTCCCATCCCTGGAAACATTCAAGGTCAGGCTGGACGGGGCTTTGAACAACCTGATCTAGTTGAAGATGTCCCTGCTCATTGCAGGGGGGTTGAACTAGATGACCTTTAGATGTCCCTTCCAACCCAAACCATTCTATGATTCTATGATTAAGTTTCTTTTCACAGAAAGATCAGGAGCCCCCACACATTTCTCTTTCTGGAAACTTTTGTCAGGTGCTATACAGGCTGCAGGAAGGCAAAAGGGGAGCTCCTGGGAGACCAAACAGCTCTTCATGTCCCGGACTACAACAAATCAATCCAGATGGAATCCACTAAAAAGTTAAAAACCAATCCTAATAATTTGGCTAAGCACGTAACATTTTCAGAGGCTTAAACTGTAGCCACTTACAACTGTGAAAATTGTTGTGTTTTATAATGGACAAAACACCGTGTTTATTAAAAATTTCTCAAATTGTAGGACCTTTTAAATTGAAATTTGTCATAAAATTCAGCCAATGGCGCTTGGGATGCAGTTACATTTGGCAAAGCCACGAACAAACCAAGAACAAGGCCTAAAATGAAAAGTATTTGTATATTAATGATTACAACAGTTTACATATTTGATCATTTAGACTATATATACCACATATATTATGTGATAAATATTCTATCTTTATATATATGACACTATACATACGTGTAATATGTATTATTAGTATTTTCTATTGATATATTTGGTCATATATTCAGCCATTAAAACATCAGATAAAATTGAAATACACGTACTAATAGGTCCAGTCAGCTCATTAGTTGCACATATGCAATGCCCCATGGCATCAGCGAGAACTATGTACATGCAAACAATAAGGATAACAAGGTGTCAAATTTCACTCCACCTTGATTTTCAGAAGCACCATATGATTTATATATGGTGAGACATCCTACACACCACAGACTGCTTTGCTAAGCAAAATGATTATACGTTTTTGGGGTTTTTTTCTTCAAAACCTGATATTAACAAGTCTAGATTTGCTTTCAAATTGCCAACTATCAGGCGTACCAGATACAGAAGTCATTTAGTTTAGACAGACGCTTTGATGCCCAGTATCATATTTTTATTTTTTATTTTTTTTTTAAAGGAAATATCATGTAACATTATTTGGGCAGATTATATCTACGGATGGATGGATGGATGAATGGGTGCATTTGAAATCTCTTAGCTGTAGTAATATGAAAACGATGACAGGTGCTAATTAATCACCACATTTTCACAAGAAAGCAAGACATTATAAATACGGCATATTATAAAACCAAGGAAAAAGTCAGCTCAAGAAGATTTAAAGGGGAAAAGCTGGATTAAAAGAACACCCTATTTTAAGTTAGAGGAGTTGACTTGCTACAGCAAGACAAACATTTTGCATCAGTTTTTTATCTGATTTCTCTAAACTCACATAACATCATTCATCTGGAGTACCAGTAACACAAGTTCTTCCTACAAACTGAAGCAATTACATTTTCTGAGTTTGCAGTTTAATTGTATAGTCACTACTATAAAGACACTCAATATTCTAAACACAGCAGTGATGGCAAAAGACACAGAGTTTCTATCTCTGAACAGAAGATGATTTGAAAACCTGCAGGTACAAAGATGATACACAAAAGACCACTCGGTTAAAAAGAAATAATGGAAGTAGACTCCTATAAAATCTTACCTTTAGATCCAAATACTCCAAATCCTTTTTCAACTGGATATAAGTGTCATCCGCCTTCAGGTAAGTACATAGGGGAAAAAAAATTGCAATGTATTTGAATGTTTGAAACAATTTCAGAATACTTGGATTGGTTATATATAAGAAAATGGACGAAAGAGGAAAAATAACAGAGTAGGAAGTACATAAAAAAGCGTATTTGCTCCACCAGCATATTGCTATTTACAGCTGAAAAATGGGCAAAATATATCCCAAGAATATTACTACCTCATGCCCACCCTCCAATCCAAACACAGAGATTTGAGTTTTCCACCTCTAATGAGACACGTAACTACCTAAAACAATAGATTTTCAAAAGTTATTTTTTCAAGATCAATTCCTACTGACTATTCCTTCACTGAAAGAGTTATGGTGATGTCCTCCAGCACAATGTCTGGGGAGAAGCAGAGAAGACTTGTACCTAACTGAATGTCAAATGTAACTAGAAGCCATTATATAACAAATCATTAGAATACTTTTGATCACATTTCATACCTATTTTAAGATACGAATTCCTTTATTCAGAGAAAGTACAAAATAAGTTTTGTGAATAAAATACTGAAAAAGATCTCACTTAGATGATTAGAGAATCCATTTTGTCTTCTAAGTAACAGCATTCAACTTGATCCTTATTTTTCATTGGCTCACCTGTAATTGCTATCAGCTTAATTTTATAGTTACATTCATCTACCAACATTTTCATTACAGTCGCTTCAAGAAAAGCATGCACAGAAGTCATAACAGAGTTATTTCTCCTTTTTTCAAAAAAGGTATTTGCAATACGCAACAAAATAAAGCTTAACTGTTGCAAAAGTGCTTTGTAATCAGCCAAAATGCCCCAGAATTCCTAGAATTTTATTGCTATTTTGACAGGATTTTATATCCTGGGTACATTAAACTTCAGAATAAAAGAAGAACACAACTATACCTTTGGAGCCAATGAGAACGTGTAGTTAAAAAAAGAAAAGAAAAACTCTTTATGCCATAAAATCAATGGATCACACTTGCATTTCTTTAGAGGTGTTCACTTACAATTCTTGTCCGATCAGCTTGTAAGCCTGGCTGAGGACTTGACTAGAAAGTCTGCCCATTTTTGAAGAAATCCCTGTTACTATCGCCCATCTTAGTGCAATTGTTCTGTAGGTGAGGTAAGTCGGGAAACGACACTTTTCCAAATTCAAAAAAATTCCTTTCGTTTTGGGCCAATATAAAGCCTTCACCAATTCCAAGAAGAGTCACCACATTTTATTCCCAGACGGCTCCATTTTTGAGGCTCTAATATGAACCAAAGAGCTCTATAAGTACATTTCTGTTTGATCTCACATTTACAAGTTTCATACATCAGTGCAATCAAGAGCACTGTTGATGATCCAAGATGCCCATGAGCTTTTACGAACCCACATTCACCTGCAGAACTGACACAGTTACAAGCTCATATGAATGTACAAATTGGCTGATGCATTTCAATTTGCAGATGACACAGCATGTGGCACAGGGAGCCAATCCCATCATGAAAGCAGCACAAAGAAATGGTTTTGCTTTAGAATGAACTTATCCAATATTTTAACCCACATTTCTGAAGACGCAGCATTTTCAGAAATAGTATAAAAAGGAAATATACATAACACTTGGAAACATATGCACTGGTGCCCTGTAACTTAAAACCCTCATCTTTTATAGCAAATACAGTAGCAAAGAAAAACTGCAAACGATCTGGGAATTGTAGAACACCAAAGAATGGGCAAGAAAGCACAGACTCAAGCATGCCACTAATGAAGCATTTGCAGAGTCACAAAATGTCATACGGCACAGATGAGCCAAGCAGCAGCTGACCTGATAGGTGGAATTAGTTGGCAAGTGCTGCAGTAATTGTGCGATTGTGTAATTTCGTATACTAGCCAACTTAGCCTGATGTCTCCTTAATCGAATGAGAAGCAATGTTAGCTCTTCAGGCTGCAGGTATTTAGACACATTGTAAAGAGGAAATTAGCAGTCTTCAGGGAGAGTAACTGTAATTACATTTTTCACCTCAGTGCCCAGAAAGCAGTTACTTGACATGATTAAGCAATTAGTTCATTAACTCTGCATTTGGTCAAATAAACATAATAAAAGTTGAATCCTGTAATAACAGACAGCTCATCCCTGTTCACGTTGCAGATAACAGCAAAATTCCTCCAGGCTTCACTGGGAGCTGGTTAAGATTAAGTTCTCATTCAAGTTATTAATGTTTTAACTAATAAAAATACAACTACTATGGAATGAGCAGTATTTTAAAACTTAACTACAGTACTATGATGACACAAAAGGAAAAGTAACTGCGCTCTCAACTTACCGACTTGCCATGCAAACTGGGTGCGCTCACAGTATGTGTCATGTAACCCATAGCAGGCATAGAGCGTCGATCAATGTGAGTTGAGCTCTGTAAGAAGTCACAGCCAGAATTGTAAGGATTGTCTCAAGTGAGAGTTATGTTGTACTTGATGGAAAATTCAGAAGATATGCACCTCTGCCACAAATTTTGTAACTGAATTCACGGCATGCTTAGATCAGGGTAACATTCATGGGCCAGCCAGATCCTTTGATGATTAAGTAAAACTTACGAATGAACAAAAGCAAATTTAGCACCTGTGATGCTGGGCAGATCAGCAGATTCTGGCAGCACAAGATGCTTCAGCAGAACATGCAAAGTGGCTTCCACAAATAAAAAAAAATATTCATAAAGTTCCCCCCCACCTAATGTCTTCCAGGGAAAGGCTGGTTCGCTTACGCCCTCCAACAGCAGGCTTGTACTCCATACAGTAACAACTGCGAATGCCGCCTTCTAGCAAGGGAACACGAAGCTACTGACATGAGTGACACCTTGTGGCAATGGGTTCCATTAATACCAGGTTTTATTAAATAATCGTATTGGATCTGCCCCTTTCTGCTTATAGTATGAAAACCTACTGCATATCCATTCTTTCATCTTTCTCTTAATGCCAAACTTTTATGGCTTTCTTCAAGGCAGACTAAATGTCTTATGTTTTATTTTTATTCCTGTCTCTGAATTTCACTGAATGCTGTTTTATTCTGCCTTTTTTAAAAAGTGTAACCGGATGGAATTTAATAAAGCATTCCAGGGAGGGGGGAGCATCAGAGATTTCTGTAGACATACACATTCAAATGTAAAATGATGCTGTGTGCTTACATACAAAAACATGAACATTTTTCTCTACAAAGTTTTACAGAAGTTTCACAGATGAGGAAAACTGTGTTTCCCTATATTGGTAAAACCAGTATGACATAAAAAGAGTTATTTTATGAGTAAAATTTATGCAGCTGCATTGGACAGGAAGGGAAAAGACTGCTGCACATTCCTTTGTAAGGGATGTAATGCTCCTTCAACTTACACATGGAGAAACCAATGTCTGGTATAATATAATCAGGAGTTAAAAAAATATTAATTTCCAGTGATGCACATCCCTAGACTATTTCATCCTCTGACAGAATATTATAAATCTATAAATGCTGAAAGACAGCCAACAGCTACACCGCATATACACTAGGAAAAAATCTAAACCGTGCATGAAGCTGGCATGCAACTTAAAGTCATCGTCCTGAACCCACGCTGGATATCTGAATTTACAAGTCTCTTTCTTTGCAAATACTTTCCCCTTCATGCCCGTGGTTGAGGTCAAAGAATTGGGTGAATACAGAGGCTTTCAATTCTACTTATTCCAGCATAAGAGCTACCAAGACAAGTAAATTCTACATTGATTCAATCCTGAATTTCCCTAATTCCCTCAGGTAAGGAGAGCCATGTGAAGTACCGAATAGGGAAACCTCTGTCACTTCTGGATAAGAGGGTACAACAGTGCCTACAAAAAAACCACAATGAAATTCGGCAGAAGGTTGAAGTTTCAGACACACTATTTGATTTTGGTTAGCCCAATGCTGACGACTCTGCAAAGGGCTTAAACTATAAAATGCATGAAAAATTATTATGTTTTTAGCCATAACTAAAAACTGAATCAGCTATAAGACTAACTACACTAGCAAAACACGTAGAGAAAGCAGACATGGCAAACACTGAAGACTACAAGCATAAGTAAATAATCAAGGAAGAGTTTATCCTGCTGAGTTTTATATTCTTGCCTACCTACTTTATACATTAAAATACTACAATTTGTATACGTTATACATATAAACATATGCCTTTCAGTTTTTGAATAAAAACATTCCAAACCAATGTGATGTGCCACCAATTTTCCTTTCATAACCAACAAAACTTAATAAACCTGAAACAATCAGAAAGATAAGAGTTTTAGGAGAAAATTATTCATTGTATTAACTTTTACAACTTGCACAACCTTTCACACACAAGGAAGGATGCAATGAAGATGACTAAATTAAATTATCAATGTATGACACCACATATAGAATAGTTTGAAATCAGTTATACTGTATACAAACCTTCACAGCATGATTTTGTATCTTCCTGGGTGATCCAGCAAAAGGAACGTCTACAGTCTGTCTCTCGTCAGAAGGTTTAACTGTAAGCCTTTCTGCAGGAGTATGTGGTCTCCTTGGGGGAAAGCTTTTTGGAGGTCCAGGTGGAGGAATATCAGATGGAGAGGGCGGAACAGATATTGATCGTGGAACATCTAATGAACTTTTTGACTTACCACGATCAATAAAATCTGAAGAACCTACATAAAGTGGGGCAGTGGGGCTGCCATGTTTAAATTGCTGTCTCTGCTGCCACTCATACAGCTGCCAAACAGTTCCATCCTTATTTGCTTTCCTTTCCTCCTGGGACATCTTCAAGTGGCTAACACGGTCTTGCGCATATTTGTAGTCACTCGGCAAATTGCGGTTTGGTGGTGGTGGTGAGCTCCCTGAAGGCTGCCTGGTATTCTTTGGCAAAGTGTGATAGTTTTCAGGAAAAGGTGGATTGGGACCCTGACGTGTAAGAGTCTGATCAGAAGTGAGGCTGTAAAGGAGCGGGGGGGGAAAGGGTAAATTTCAGCATACATTGATGAGTGGGAGTGACTGATAAAAAAACCCAATCTCTAATGACATTAGCATAGGAGCTACAAGACACAACATACAAGAGTAATTTAAAAAATTTACAGAAATATTAACAAAGTAATATTAATGAAATCTACCCTGCACAAAAACATTACACTGTATTAATGTAAAGATGCAAATAGTATAAATACAGGCTTTTAATTTAGTGTCTAACCTAGGATGACCTATTAGAAATAAACTTAAGGGACAGCTGTATTATGTACTTAGACCAAAAAGAATGTCAAGAACATGAAGAAAAGAATTATTATGTTTAAAGAGCAAATCCGTAAATTAAAATATTTTTCACTGAAAGCCTGCTTACCACTAGGTGGTGCAGTTTATGAACAACAAATGCATGCTCATTATAAAAAAACTGCCTTAAGGTGCAAGAAGAAATCTCACCAATCATAGAGTGAGTATCTCAGATAATTTTTGTTCATGTGAATGAAGAAGAAAATAAAAAAGGTAAGAAATTGCTTGAAGTCCCCAAGTCTGTATGATTTACTTTCACCTGACCTAATGCTACTAGTTCTACTGTTTTAAGCAACACAAGGCTTTTTGCAACAAAACTCATTGATAAACTAGAATATAAAAAGAGGCATGACATCTTGGCTTTAGTACTGCATCCATAATGCACTTAAACTGTAGAAATTAAATCTTTTGGTAGATAGACAGTTAAGACAGAACCGGCAAAAGCTTTGACAAAGTGTAGTTAGCTCCCTCTCCTACTTTGAAGTCAAAATCTTTCCATAGTCTCATGCTCTTTCCGTAGCCTCGAATTTCTGATTCTCCAGTTAAACATCTGGGGGTTTTGTACTTGCACTCACCCACCCATTGATTCAGGATCTCTAAACGGAAAACCATTCTGCTAGACTTGTCACAGAGCAACAACACAAAAAATAAATAAAAACAACAAAAAACCGACAATTGAAGAAACTCAGAGCACGTTCATCACTCCACTTGGTAGGCTCCACCCTCTGCATGAGAGGGACACCTGATGGTGTGCACATGAAAGAAAGGGCAGTATGGAAAAGAACACCTTTGTTCAGCATCCAAGAATAACAGAAGCAGGGGGAAAAGAATTGCTACCAGTAACTGCTGCTCAGTAGTTGTCTCCGTCTATTTCTACTTGCAGGATTTGGCACTGTTGGGCTGTCTTGAAATACGTATGCTCTTGAGAGGATATTTAACTCCTCATGTCAGAAAGCAGAATAACTGCCCTGCGCTGCATGGAGGATTACAAATTCATAAAAGCTCTGCTCTCTTATACCACAGAACCTTGATGCTATCCTCGAATTTCACAGTAAAGGTTAAAGCAGGCAGATAGTATGAACAGAGGCAACTCAAAGATCAGCATTTAGTGGTCAAGTAACCTCTTTTATTTGTCTAGCTCATTACATCGTGTGTACTCTGTATGTTCTGTACCGTACTGCCAATTCTTTCCACGTGAAAATCCAAGCGGTTGGTAGAAATGTATTTTCTCTAGATAGGAATGAGAACTGAGAAAGTTTGGAGCAGGTAATGCTTCAGAAGGACAGAGACAGGCATGAAGCTAGGACAGATTCTTTTGGTGATTTCTCTGCGGAAAAAAGGGGAAGTACGCTTGACCATTCCTACACTCCAACCTAGTGGAGCCCTCATGAAGACATTGGCAAACTACTGAATGTTGCAAACCATCTGTGTGTGGTTATTTTCTAATTGGACATGAAAGGGTAAAGTATTCAGATCAGCAGGAATTACTGGTAGTCAATGAAGTCATCAGGGCTAGCAGCTTTAGGAACAAAAGCAGTCTGAAAACAAAGACCCCATGAGTTTTTGGGGAAAAAAAATAATCATGCCTTTCTTCTAGAAAAGGATGCATTTGTCTGAGAGGAGCTAAAAACTGTTTGGATGAAAGCAGTACTTTGAGCAGCTGGAAGTGCCAGCTTCATGCAATACTTCAGCCTGCTAGAAAAAAAACCCAAAGTTGCATGTGCATTACATTGCACAGGGAAAGTCATATTCAAAGCTGAACTTCAGAGGCAACTGCCTATATACAGGCAGGTTGTAATTTCTCAGTATTTGAAGTAGGGAGAAACCTCCAGCTAAGATGACAGGCTTTAAGCAGGTGGCACCTCTACCAAACAATGTTTCAGGCCCTTAAAAATAATTTGCATAATCAAAATAGGCACTAAGACAACATACCAATTTCTAGAACAGGGAAGGAACAATGTCCTGAATGACTCAAATTAGTACCCAGTGGAACCTAGATAATTGCTTCCTCAGGCATCAAGAGTAAAAATGAGCAAAAGCAGATGTTCTTGAGAATCTCTCTGTCTTGAATGATGAGGTATAAAGAATAGAAAAAGGAAAACAGATACTGAAGAGTGAAAAAAAGGCCTGATGCCATATGATTATTTGCCATGAAAACCATTCAGCGTCTGCAACGGGAAGCAATCACACAGAAGATATTGTACAAAAAGTAGATGAATGTTCAAAAGAAAACAAATACAAATATTGGAAAAATGATGCCCATTCACAGGAATGCACAGAAGCTAACAAAGACAACTAATGTTTCTTCCTTAAGCAAATCAGGAAGAAATGGAAAGTTCTGCATAACAAGAAATGTTTAACACTGTATTTGCAAGGAAGGAAATTCCTCAACATGACTGCATTTAGTTGGGAAACATGAAGCTTAGATTTATCAGAATTTTTTTTTTTTTTGAAGTGCAAATTGACTGTTAGAAATACCAGAGACTTTACAATTATGCATTCGCTGTATCTATCCAGGCACTGGAATCAGATCAAAGACTAATAATTTCTGGACAGCTGCTGTTTAATGGCCTAACCTTTAATTACTTAAAACCAAAATCTCCTGAAAGCCTCCTTTCAAACCTCCTTCCAATTCTCTAGATCTCTCTCAAAGGCTGGCATGAACCTTACCAAAGCAGATATTCCCCTTTGCTGAGAACAGAGCCGGGTTAGATAACTACATTGGACGTAACTGTACTGCAGCTAACAGTTCATTGTCTAAGAGAGCTGACATTTACTAGTTAGCCAACACTAGTTGGCAGCACTAGTTCTGAGTGCTTTATAAAAAGGGGAAGTAAAATATCTGTTTGAAAGATCTGAATTTCTATATAAAAGGTGCAATCCCTGCAAATAATTACACAAATAACTGCTGTATTTGTGTGAAGCCTCTAGCTGAAAGAGTTCTTCCTGGTCATAATCAACTTGCTGGCAAGCATTGCAGCTTTATACACCTGAGTCAGGAAACAAATAAAACTGTACTTATTCTGTGTTCAAAAATTATAAAGGCTTCTAAATCCTCAGAGATTCTTTATTTGTAACATTTCAGGTGGAATAACAGTAAACATGGAGCATTAAGAAATTAAGTGGTCCACTCATCCTTACTAAAATCAAAATGGAAAGTCAGTCAAATTAGCATCTCTATCTTGATTTCAGGATATAGATATTTAAGACGACATTCGACAACTAACATGCCATTTTTATCCATCAGTTAAGTGCACTGCAACAACCTCAGCAGGTTGAGAGAAAGTGCCATTTAAAAAAAAAAAATCAATCCCTTAATCTTCGGGAAGGTAACGTGCAATTTATTCTAAATGCAGAGAATATAACAGCATTTGTCAGGGAAAGACAGAGAAAACAAGGTCAACTGAGTTAAAATAGAACATAAAGGAAGTTCTTAAGGTAAGAAGAAAATTTATATTTTTTTATATATATAAAGTTAGATTTTGGTTACATCACTGCAGTTAACTCTTGCGAAGTTTCACTGAATACTTAACTGCTCCAGCTGAGGTAGCTGGTTTTATCTAGAACAAAAGCACCTGCAACAGCGCTATCTTAACACTACACCTGATACACACCTAAAAGTTGATTTACTGGAAAGAGTAATTAGGAAGAAAACAATACTTATTTAGCTATCCATCAAGCCTGTTCATTGCCTATACTTTTGATGTGAAAAACATCAACAAAAGTTTTCTTAAGCACTGGCTAATTAGTCCAATAGTTTTCTGTATTACTTTAGACTAATACATCTGTGCATGTAAGAACAACTAACATACCAAGTACTTTTTTTCATTAAAGTCATATTCTCTCAGGAAGCATTGGTTGATATCCAAGCAAAAAACATGCAAGTAAACTGACTCTAGCAGTCTACAAGAATGTTGAATAGAAATCGAAAAGTATGAAAGCTTCTTTAAGGATAATTCCAAAGACAAGAGAGTAGAAGAATAGACTTCCAAACAGAATTAGCAAGCCTTAAATTTCTTACTGGATGCAAAATGACAAATGTTAGCTTCAATAAGCATTAAAAAAATGCCCAAAATGTTTTCTCCGTCCTAAGAACCACATGCTAATATTTCCTATTGTTCTATATTATAGTTAGATTTTAGCAAATTTATAAGGTACTAATTCAGTAGGTTACCCACATTTGAAAAATCCTCACATGCAGCACAGAGCCCAACTGTCTTTCTCGCCACTTGACACAAGGTGACGTTCTGAACAGACACATATATACATCACTTCATTTTTTTTCAACTGGTACCTAATCTGACTGCACACTTTGAAAGTAAAGCAATTACGAGATTTTCAAATTACAAAAGCATTCCAGTGTGCATTCCACCTCTTGGTATAATTTATGTAATTTTCAGGGACTGAAAAGGGAAAAGAGAATCCTGGAGACCATGGGAACATCCTAGGACCTCTTCATTAACTAAATGAATATACAAAGACCTTTCAATATGTGACCTATGCACTGTGACTTTGAGCGCAGTGATCTGATGTAGAGGAGTGAATGGATGTTTGGAACAGGAACAGAAGGGAGTAAAAAAAAAAAAGCAGCATTCTTTACTTTTAAGCAGAAAACAAACAATTACCTATAATTTATATTGTGCAGTTTTTTATGAATAAGAGGTAACTGAGGGCTGCACTTCACTTTCTGGCTCTTCAATTGTACTAAGAAGTTTTAAGCACCCACAGTGATTAAAAACAGTAAAAAAAAAAATAGCACTCTAATCTCATTTTTTCTATTTGCAATATAGTGACAACATTAAAGGGATTTGATTAGCCAATTCCATACTGACTTTCCCATGAGATAAACATCTGAAAAATGCCATTCTGCACTGGAGGAGGAAGTAAGGTTTTTTTTATATATTGTCTCTGTAAAATATCATTCTGATTTGCACTAAACATATTACTGATACATATTTTCCTTTAATTTAAGAAAACACCACTTGGCAGTCTATTTAAAGATGGGCCTATTACTAACCTTTTTGTATCTCCTTTTTGGACTTTCACCCAGTGTTCCACTTGAGCCATGTTACTTTTTCTTTAAATCTGTTTATCTGGATTTGTTCTGGGAACAAACCCTCTTTTATATGAGCTGGTACCATTCTGCTCCACTAGGCCAGCACTCATACTTAATGAAATAGGAAGCGTTCCATTCTTCTCAGCTGGCTGAGGCTGAGCTACTTGGGACCTCGATGCATTCGTTAAGTCTGGAAATAATGAATCAGCTTCTGTTAATGCATGCTTAGCCTTTCCCTTCTTAGTTTCCAGAGTTTCTTTTCTGTGGCTATAACGCTCCTCCTCTTTTTCTCTTCTTATCTCTTCACGCTTATCGTATCCAAGCATTTCAGCTGATTTTTGATAACTTTCTTTTGTATCTGTAATCTCTGCCTTCACACACTCTTTACAGGCATCCACATGATTGACTTGGGGAACAGCTTGCTGATCCACTTTTTCATTTTCTCTGGAAAGAAAATATATGTCAGTAATGAACACTGCTTAATTGTGAAAAGTTGATGTGGTCTTGTTACTATTTTAGAAAGGATACCCACAAAAGCACCTTCTCCAGGCTGTAATAAATTTGACATGTTAAGATAGATATGCTCAGGAAAACTCAGTTGTTATCCCAGTTAGACAAAATTTACCTTTACAGTGCTATCAAGGAAGGAGAAATAATTTATAGGCATCTGTAAAAATGACTGAAAATACTAATGTTGTATGAAAGAAGTGTTCAACTTGTGTAATATTATGTACAAACAACTGTAAAAAAAGAGTCTTCCTATCCTAGGAAACACTGAAAGCCAAAAAACCAAAACCAAACTGCCAACTGCTCATTTCAAAGTCAAAAAAGTCTTTCATATCTTTGTAGATGCCTTAGGGACTAGTCATTTCTGGCCGAGAAGACAGAACAATATCTACATTTGAGTCGGTACTATCATTGTCCAGGGAATTTCTAACCTGCGGGCTATTCCTGCAAAAAATAAAATAAAAAAAAAAAATTCTCCATTGCTTCTAATACATGCTGCAATGCACACTAGTTTACTTATTTACCTATTGCCTAAGTATTTAAAAAATTCCCTATCAGAGATCTTGATATTAAACTTATAACACACTATAAAACGTCTAAGGATCCTAAAAGTTTTATGTTGCTTTTGACACATAACATACTTCATTTGCAATTTTCTTCATCTCCTTATAGTGATAAGCTTCTCGACAACATTTTTTTCTCTTACAATTCAACGGAGTATCACTGATCTCGGAGTAGCACCTCATCTTCTCTGAAACTAAGTTCTGCTTCCACTCGGCTTTATGGAAGGTGAATTCCGAGTAAGTGCCACAAAACAATTGTTTTCACTCCAGTCTACTTAGTGTCTCAAAATGAATAGTCTACTAGGAGGAAGGACACTGGACCAATACTTCTAACATGCCAGACTTTCCCAATTTTTTCTTTCAATTATTCCTATCCTTATAAAGAAGATAAAGCAGGTAACAGGTTACATGTTATTTGAAATTTAAATTAAATCCAGAAAATCTTAACACAAAATCATATAGGATGCAAAGCTCTGGAAGAGATGTTGATCCTTTGCTTATATTTGATTTGCCAAAAGCAAGCAGTAGAGCGAGATACTCTGAGAAACTGCACCATGACATTTTAATCCTCACCGCCCCAAGGGTTAAAAGCAGGGTTGTCTCACAGTACAGTCGTCTTTCACAAGGAGTTGTAGGGAAATAATCACATTCCCAAAGTCAAAACATCAAGAAGGCTACACCAATTTTAAGAGGGAAAAACTGGAAGCACAGGAAGGCACAGCTGAATTCGTTTGCCTCTAGCACTAATTAAGAACAATGGGACAAAGGACATCCTCCTTTTGTAACAGTGCTTTTTTTCTACACCAAGAAAACCATAAAAAAAAACTCTTACAAGTACTAAATGCCACCAAAGTAAGTAAAAAAATAAGCAGTTAATACCTGCATAAATTAGTTAATATCCATAACTATGCACTTATGATTTACACATCTTTAACATCCTTTTCCCTCTTAACAGCATTTTAATCCTAGTTCTAAACACTCATTTGAAACAACTTGTTAGTCTTCTGTCTTCTCCCTTTTACTTCTTTCTCCTCAAGGCTGGCGATTGGCTGTTGCAGGTATATGAATTTGCTCACAAAACCTGTAACTTTTTAACTGAAATTCCCTAAAAAAATTATATATGTACAAAAATTAATCCATGTCACTAAATGTGGGCACACAATTTGTGTGTAGACACAAATACTGAGTACCAGGTTTTCTTAATTAATGTTAGTTAACTGATTTGCAACAGAATGTAAATTAAAAAGAATTATTTCTTTAAAATGGGAGTTTCATGCACACATTTACAAATATAACTTTCAGAAATCATCACCAATCTGATTTTTTAATATATATATATAAAATATATTAAAAAAATTTTTAAAAGCTAACAGTTTCTGTATTGAACTTGCCTCTTCAGTGAAGAGCGTGTCTGCATAAGAGCAGCTTGATTCATAGCCCGGATCCAGCCATTCATATCCTCTTGGGTATCTGCACTGAAGTAGTATGTCCGCATCCCTGAATGCTCTGCCTGAGAGCCAATAACAGAATTCTTATTATAAATATATGCCCGCATACCTGTATGAACAGCCTGTAAGGGGGGAAAAAAAAAAAAAATGAAAGAAATAAAAGTCAGACAGCCCTTTTGTTTTCTCCCTCAGAAAATCTACTGTAGCTTTTTCTGGTAACTTTAGAAAAAAAAAAACTTTCCAGATTCTTTGACTGTTTCTTGAATTTTGGGTAAAATTATTACACTGCCACAACGGGCTATAGTTCAGCAAACTCAAAGGGCACTCTGATTTTTACTGAAATTCCTCTACCTCTTTATTGCACTATTAAGCTAAAAGTGCAGCGCTTCTGTTTTTCATAGTAGGAAATTTATACATTTTATTTGCCATAAATACCATACAAAACAAATTAAAGAAATTCTCAATGAGACACGCATAAGCAAGCCAATTTTCCCAGCTCATTTAATAAAGCAATTTATTCAGACAACACACAGACAAAAATCTTACAATTCAAGCAATTAAACTGCTTATTTAAGAACTGATTATAGTACATGTTAAGATCTTTTGGTTAAAGTGTGCACTTGAACCTCTATATTAGCTGCAAAATCACAAGACTTACTGATAAAGTTAGTAATACTGACGGACTTAACACAGACAAGTATCTCTGCACAGCAAAATACTCCATGAAATTCCACTGCAAACTAGAGGTATTTGGAAATTCCTCTATAAATATATTCAATATTCAAATGTATTCAATATGGAATGTCTTTGTAACTCTAGGCTAGTTGAATTTAATCAAATCTCATCCACATTTGTATAAGCAATAGTATAGATAGTATAGATATTACTAAGTCATATCAGTCCTGAAATGCTTGACTCCTCAAAGTTACTTTACAGATGTGCTTCAGATTCGTAGGGAGAGATTCATCTCCTTACTTTCCAAAAAACTGAAGACAGTACATTCAGCTTGCAAGCTCTTGTAATGATTTAAAACAAAATCAGTAAATTTAAACTGCTTTTTATAAAACTAAACCTGCTACGACACACAAAAGCTAATGGCATGAAACACTGCTGAGAGGGTTTTTTTTAAAAGGAAAAAAATTATCTCAACTTTTAATTTGGCTACATCTTCTTTTAAAGGTTAAACATAATTCATAAATCTTCCCTAAATTACTGGTCTTTTTATTTTGATGAAATCCTCTCCCCCTCATTATTCCAAATTGAAAAAAAAACCACTCTACAATCACAGATGGCTTCAGAAACACAGCAATAGTTTTGACAAAACCCAGGCTATTTATCCGGTGCAGCCCTCCCTAAACGTTATAATTTCAGTTGTTTACCCTGAATTTCCCAAATGACCATAATCTTAGAAACTCGTATCAACAACTCCAAAGAGCAAAATATTTGCTTGCTATTACATTGCTTTAAGTTTTGTGGAAAATTTACTCCCTTTCTATTGCAGCCTGTTCTTATAAACGTGTGAAACGTGGCCTTTCCCTTATACGCCTCAAGCAAGGAAGCCTCAGCTTGTTTTGAAAACTGTGGTAACACAGTCTTCACATGGGTCAGTCCCTGGCCTGCCATCACACCCGTGGTGGAAAGGATGAAACTGCAGCACAACAGCTAGCTAGAAAAAGGAGGAGGAGAAGGAAGAGCAGGAAAGGGTGACACAGAGAAGTCCAAGACTCTCTCTTGCTAGAAAGAATCTCTGCTTCCCAACTGTGTTGGCCAATAAGGGAATACAAGGTGGTTTCTCCCTCTCCACCATTAGCTGCCTACCTTAACACAGGAAAACAGGACTTACATATATGAAACAGCAGCTCTGATCAATTGGGTATTTAGGAATCAAAGCATTTCTTTCATGTTTGCCTGGTTGAGTTCTTTTGGTTTTCTTTGTTGTTGGTTTTTGGTTTTTCCCCCCCCCCCCCCCCCATTTTGAGACCGTTACAAATGGTCAAAGCAAATATGATTTAGAAGCATTTAATTCATTGCAATTTATGGTTAGCATCCACTGTAAGAACAGAGCAAAAATTGGCAGCTCCAGATGTAAAGGAAATCAGTGATTTTAACGCTAGACCTTATGACTACAGGGTTCCTTCACAGACCACACTGAGCCCATAGAAGAAGATGCTAGAATTCAGAAATGAAGCGACTCCTGCAGAAAAGCAGACTATGTATGCCCTGCTGCAGATGACACAGTAGGACCCTACCATTCATGGTTATATACTTGCTGAAAAAAAACAGAACCTTGGGTAACTAACTGCGGAGACTGCGTACCACATCAATAAATGGATTTAACAGCTATCTGTCTTAATTGACCTGTACGTCTTGATCAAACATAACCTGTTTGCCTTTCAGGTTCTCTTTCAGCAGTGCATGATGAACACAGCTGAAGGAAATTGCATAACAGGCTGTAGGTGAAAACGGTATAAAAATGCGAAGTATGTTGTACCATTCTCCCTTGAGAGACTGAAGCTATCCCAGCCATAAACATTCATAGCTTCAGAAGGGATAATGGAGATGGTGTGTTATTATCAACAAACACAACATTCTGAAGTTCGTAATATATAAAACTGTTAAAGGAACATTCAAATATATTTCAGTTATTTATTAGTAGCGTGTTTTATATGCAAGAAAGCCACTTTGTGCCAATGTCCTGTAGCTGTCACTGCTAGCAGACACAGAAGCTAGCAGTTCTTTTCTTTTTTTTTCTTTTTTTAAAGCAATAGCTATTAGGATAACTACAGCAGACTAAAAAGCCTAAAACACAGCACATGCGCACACGTACACCATACACACAACAGGGAAAAAATAATATTGGTACCTATTCATGCATTCAGATGCCTTAATGTGGATAGATTGAGAAGAAAAGCAGTCTCTCTCCCATAATGCACAGAAGGAGAAATGGACAGTACACCCCAAGGGCATATCAATAGGACAAGACAAGGACAAAAAGTTAAACAAGTTAAAATAATGAAAAGATTCATGTTTCCAAAGAAAATACTTAGCAAAAGACTATACTAAAAGTAACTGATGCCTAGAGCTGTTATGTTCATCTCCAATAATTCTAAATTCCTAGGAAAGAAAAAGCCACAGTTCATAGGACAGAGGGATAGGGAGGGGAACAGTTTTCTAATAATTGTAATCTTTCCAAGTTAGTCCTCTCAATAAGCTAAAAAAATACAGGAAATTCTCCCTTCTCCTGAAGTTCGATATTTATGAAACATTTATGAGCAAAAATTGAAATAATACTCTGAGCCTTCACTATAAACACAACAGCAAACTACAATCTAACTCAATCTTTCACCCTCAAATAATACTGAGCTTTTTCAGGACTTCTAGAAGCTAAAACCTTCCCTTTTCCAAGTTCTAAAATGGCACCTCTCAAATTTATAGCCCTTGGCATTTCTTCACCTGAATCCCCAGAGCCAGAGAAGCTTTATAAGCAATACGGGAGCCTAAGGAAGCAACAAGGATCCAGTGAACATAAAGGAACAAACTGTGTCAAAATTTTTAGGAAAACCAGTGAGATCAAAGAAACAGATCAGAAGTTTGCCCTGATCCCAGGAGCTCTAAGCAATGAACAGATACTTCCATAAGTAAGTCTTAAGAGTGTCAATAATGAAAAGATATTTAAAAACAAGCTGCAGTAGCATCTTCTGGAAGTAATTATTTGGCCTGGCTTCCTAGGCTCTGAATGCCGTCACGCTGAAAGGGTGTATCTCTGAAAAGATTTAAAAGGTAGTATCAAAATAAGGAGGAGTAATTTCTATCTCCAACGTTACTTCCTACCTCTTACAGGAACATGAGAGCATCCTTCAGTGACTTTATTTGGTAGCAAGACATGCACCTAAATACAAACATCTACTTGTATACATTGTCTTTGCATGAAGTTTTGTTGTTTTCTTTACAGCAAACACTGGTAGTCCTTCCAAGTTTCTTGATTTGTATTACTGTCAGATTCATATAAATGAGTTTACATTCAGTATTCTCTCATATATTTTAACACATATAAGACCAATTAAAAATAGTTCTCATGATTGAGGACAATGAGGCTTCTAAAGAGACTGTGATGACATTAACCTTCATAAATTGATAGTACTCATGTTTAAAATGGTTGTATTACTAAGAAGTACAGTCAATTCTCTATTAATCACAGGGAGTATTTCTGGCTATATATTAATGTTGTGCAAATTTTTTCACATTAAAATCTATACATTGGATTTGTGCTCCCTCACATTTGTATCAGCAAAAAAATTAATTAATCTAGTCGCTATATTTTTTAATACAGTATCTTTAAGATGTTAGCTACTGAACTAAATATGCAGTAAGGATGCTGAGTTCTAAAAGGCTGTCACACAGCTTAATGACAGTAGCTTACAGCTAGTCACAGCTTTTTGTTTGGGACAAATAAACAATGTGAAAAATTTGTCAAGATAAATACTTAAAAGCAGAGTTTCTAAACAAAATAATTTGACATACATACTGCTACACTTCAAAAGTAGTTTTTGATTGCATTTGAACAGCCTGTACGCAGTTCTGCAGGCCTGTAACTGTTAAACACGAAAAGAGACACAAAAGCTTAAAGCTGGGCCCTAGGAGATGATGAAAGGAAAGCAATTTTGAGAACTCCTACGGTGTACATTTTAACAGTTAGCAGGCTTTAACATATATCCTAGTGAGCATGTATTTTAATAATCTTCTAACTGAATTATATGCAAAAAGCATCCATGCATTTGCTAGGTAAATTTCCTTCCTTTAGTTTTACAAACCAAAATGTTGAAATTTTTTGCAGTTTGACTGCTTCCCTGGCTTCAAAAACTCATTGTTGCTTAAACCAGCCATTTAAAATGAGAACAAATATCTCTATTGTAAGAGAAGATTTACAACAACCCGAATAAATGACAGGCCAAATGTAAAAAGTGACATGGCACATTCTCCCATTCATTCAGGACTTAAATGTGAAAAAGTTCTATCTTTATTTTGGGCTTAATCCGCTTGTGTTTTCTATTTCTGGCTGCACTACGTTGTGAGACAGAATGTCCATCTACGCTCTGGATATCAAAGTGTACTGAAGAGATTAGATAAAGGTAATGGCTGGTGAGTGATGGAATGCCAGTACAGCCGTGCTCCTGCTGTCGTGTGCCCACAGCCGACTCCATGACCATTGAACATCAGTGTTGGATGGAGTCCATGCAACAGGAATCTTACAAAATCCTCCTACTGCCCTAGGAGTTCGTTCTAAATAAAATGAACTGCAGCATCAAGTCTGCAGTCAATCATCAAACACCTAGAGCAGAGTTAAGATTGGCCCAACAAACTAATATATGAAATGTATACTGTGGATTTTTAATACAGATTTCTAGCATAAAGTTTCTTTTGCTATCAACTCCCTATTTCTATATCAACTTTTTAGTAATGACCCTATGTTGAAAGTCTCAGGTTACTGGCTCATGCTGTATTTTCAGAAAAAGACTCAGATTAAATACTTGCTAGAGCTCATATAGCAATGATATCCTAAAAGGAACAGGGGGAGTCTGCAATTGCTTCTGAAAATGTTTAACCGTGATCACAGCCATGGATTCTACTCCACAGGAAGGGAGAAGCACAGCTTGGCAGTGGTGACTTGAGAGCTTGCCTATAGAACGTACTGCTTGCTATCTACGTGTGTGTGTGTGTGTGTGTGTGTGTACACACATATATAGATATATACACACACATACAGGTTTTTTTTTCCCCTTACCACTGATAGTGTTAAACTGGTTAATAAACCTAATATACATTCAATTAACATTTACAAACATCCTTTCAATAAAATAAAAAGCAGATTTTTTTTTTAAACTCTAAAGCAACTAGATACTATCGCTACTTTCTTTATCTCCTTCCCCAGTCTGCACTAATAGTTATTCAAGAAAAGGAGAAGCCTAGAAGTATATTGGGTCCTCCTCTTTCAGTATGTGCTTCTTCCTAGGAAAAGGCTCTAGAAGAGGAGGGCTTGATGAATTACACTCATTAAATATTGGAGTGGAATGTTTTTCTTAAACAAAGGTTCCTTTGTAGGAACCTTGTCCTGCTATCTCATGTTCAACGCATTTGAAAAAGTACAATAAACATTTCCACAAAGTGCACTGGGTCTTTTTTTAAACAAATTTCCCAAGTTAATATTTGTTTAATAAATTTCAAACCATTATCCACTTGAAAATAGAACCGAAAGCAACAAAAGGCAGTCTACAATCTTAAAACAACCCAAAAATCAAAATGCAAAAGAAAGTCTAAGCTGAGCACACGTTCTTTGTAATTTCAGCACAGAAAAGATTTAAACAGAAAGTTTCCTTCTAGATCTCCTAAAGTATACCTGATCAAAACCTGATTTCTAATTTTTTTTTTTAAAGTACATAGCTCATTTGCTCGATAGAAAAACAGGTTCTGCTCCAAGTATCGGTAGAATTTAAATCTGCAACAATACACTGAAGTTTCCAAAACTCTGCCTTAGTGCTGCAGCTCAGACAATCAACTGGAGTCAGGTTTCTCCACTATCAAGAAGGAATATATGGGTTTTTTTTCATTTTCATAGTTTTTTATAACATAGAACTGTAAATTATAAAATTATAAAATTAATTTTTTTTTTTTTTAAAGAAAAAAAACACAAAACCAACCTCAAACTATATCAAAACAAGAGTGTTTTTTCTTTAAAAAACTCCATGTCTCTTAGGACGACTATTGCTCCCCCAATAAAAAGGAGAAGAAAATTGGTTACCCTTTTTCCCCTTGAAATGAGGAAATTATACATCAAAAGCTACAGTGTTGTCATTTTCTAACCGTGAGAACTGAGCCGATTATTTTATTTAAAAAAGAACACAACAAAACCAGAAGACCATCAGTCCACTATGAGATCAAGTACTCTATAAAGAAAAAACATTTCTTTCATTTTGTAAACAGTACTGGAACAACTTATCGATACCAATTTCTAATTTTAGAAACAGGATCTTTACTCACAGACACATTATTGAGCTCTGAAGACACATAGTAACAGACATATGAATGTCAATTCATAAGCAACAAAAAAGTGCTATGTCACATTTGAACAGGCAGTCAATAAACCTGTCTACTTTTACAAAAATAAATAAAATAGGAAAGCAGATTATGTTTCTGTTTACAACAGCATCTTTTCTAATGCAAATAAATATTTTAAAATACGATTAGCTAATAAACTTTGTAACTGTACCTTAAAAGAAAATTTGCGATTTATGCGATCTTCAGGTCCAACTGGAGATATTACGTAACTAGGCAATGGTATGCTACCCAAAACAGATTCTTCTCTGCTGTCTGTTGAATAAAAAAAATAGAATCTAATTCACTGCACTTTTCAATGGGGTAACAATACATTCTCCTTTATGGACACACAGACAACAGGCATTAAGTAGAAAGAAGAGTGGTTCAGACTGGATGTAAGGAAAAGAATTTTTCCCATGAGGACAGAGCAGCAGCGGAACAGGCCGACCAGGGAGGTTGTGCCATCTCCGCCCTTAGAGGTTTTCAACACCTGACTGGATTAAGCCCTGAGCAACCTGGGCTGACTTTTCCTGACCCTGCTTTCACCAGGCAGTTGGACTAGACACTTCCTGAAGTCCCTTCTGACCTGAATTTTCTTATGACTCAACAGCAAGAATACATGGAGAAAAATGTTTTATTTTTAAAGAAACGAGACTGAATTTTTTTAAAAAAAAGATCAGTTTGGTCTTTTGTTGAGGGTTTTTTTTTTTTGGAGGGGGTTTGATTTTTTTAGGTTGAGACAGAAGAATACAGTTTGAGAATAAAGATTATTGTGACAAATGAACTCTGACAGGCTGCGTAACATGATGGACCTTCCATTTAGCATTCTATATCTAGGCTAATTGCTATAATTAGGAAACCTCTATTATTGCTGGCTGTAAAGTGATCAGCAGCAGAAATGCAGTGCCTAGAAATATGAGTTTGAGTTTCATATTCTATAAGGCTTTCCAAAAATTGTAACACACTACACAATATTCAAAACTTCAAAAAAACCTTATGTAATACCGTTATTCCTAGTTCAGGCTAAGATCACATCTAACCTTTTTTGGTAGAAATACTGGATTCAGAAGTTCTCGCTCTTACATCATCCCTTGGATTAAAGTTGAATCAATGCCCTGATCTGGCCATAGTGCATTCTCAAAAAATCAGCTGTCCGAGTGCAAGCAAGTAGGTAACACAACGCAGACCAGAGATGGGGTAAATCTTAAACTGGTATTGCTGCCAAATGTTTTGTAACGTAAACCTTGGCATATATCAAATATAAGTTATGTGACAAAAGATCATACAGCACCCCCTTGTTCCCCAACTCTGGCCTGAAATTTGCTGCACATTAAAGACATATGGATAAGTAATTTCAGTAAGTTTCACTATGCATCTTCTCAGAGTACCTAAATATATCTGAAGAATTCAATTAGTTTATGCTCGCAATGTATTTGAACAGGTGAACTGTTACAGACTAACTCAAAAGAGCTAGTATCTACTCACCTTTGTAGTAAAACAAACAATAATCAGCAAGCACAAACCATCGCCTTTTCCATAATCGCATTCCAGAGCTATCCTGAAATGCAAGAAATGTGATACACTTTTCATTTAAGGGAAGTTAACAGCTTATCATACAATGCTGTACCAGTGAGTAGTTTACCAGAAGTTTACCTAAATGTGGTATTAATCGCAAAAACAAGTGGTTTATATTTTAGCAAAATATTATGCACTAAGAAAGATAAGAGGCAAAACATCCAGCTATAAAATAGTCAGGGTAGAATATTCATACTTCTAATTTTCATTAAGTAATTAAACTTGCATCCCAAACAGCATTCAGATTAACCTTATACACAACCAATGCATATTTTATCTAGACAGATTTATCCTGCAATAAAGAAACAAAGTATGCATCTGGATGGCACAAATTCCAACAAGGATTGCCTGTAGACCAAGATGAAAATCACCACACAGCTGTGAAGTATGACCTCACATTTCAGACAATGATCCCCTATAATTCTACAGTCAATCTCCCATATGTTACCCATGCCTAAAATGTAATTTAATCAAATATTCCTTAGGAAATAAAACAGGGTGCATAACGTGCAAATTTTAATGAAGTATAATACAACATGCCTGTGGAGACCTATATATCTCTCTCTATATATAATATATATCACCTTGTGAAAATGAGTAGTATTTACACTGAAATTAATTTTAGAAGCTTGTAAAATTGCCAGACTGTAACCTAAGCAAATACAACTTATTCAGCTGAGGTAGGCTTTGATGAGATCAGCAGCATAGAAAGCATCTTCAGGCTTTAAGTGCTTGCAAGTAGAGGAAAGGGGACAGAACGAAATAGCTAGAGGAATGTTGTATATACTATTTCCCTTCTTCTTTCTGCAGCCATATTAAGTATGCAAGGACTTCTTCCCTTTCCTTTTTCTTGCTACAATGCTGTCAACACATACTGTGTCTGAGTTCTGATTCTGTCCTGAAAACTAATGGACTTGGGTAGTGAATGTCAACAGAGTTGATAGCAGAATACAGCTCTCCATGCAGAAGGAAGTGGATGGCTGTCAGCAATTTCACTTTCCTGTCTATGTAGAATCGTAATTGTAAGCCTTAGATTTCAGCCTTCTCCTACTCATCCCTAAACCTAGCTGCTGGATCTCTGGTGATAATCTGATGGACGCTGACTGCCAGGTTAGAAGCAGGGAAGTATTCTCATACAACAAACAGCTTTATTTACTTTTTGCACTCAAGGATGTGCTTCTGTCAGCTTGAGAGTTCAAGATGCAGCAGCTGTAAAATTCTGTTTGTTGGATGAAATCCTATAATTCAGCCTTTGCTTGGACACTGGTCTTGGTGTCAGCAATGCGTGGTGAACGGGTCCCTGTTTCCCTTCATTTTCTCCCTCCTGCTTCTGGAGAACAAAAGGCATATGGGTTGGAATTAAGCCTTTGATCAGGGTATAAGCAAGCAGATGGAATAAGGCCTTCACAGCCAACCTTGGGTTTATAGCGCATTCTGAGGGAGACTGAGATCAGCATGGCAGTAAGCCAGCAGGATAAAACAGGGAAAATAACCAGATTTAGACAACAAAGTTATAGCCTTAACTTTTAACCATGATGGCGATGTCCATTTATCGTTGTTTCAACTTCTGAATCAAAGCTGTACGTAAAACTTGGTTTTCACACTTGCTGAACACAAGCCCCTTATTACGGAAGCTTGTGGGAGTACCCAACACTGCCCTGCATCATCAACGTTTGAGCTTCTGTTTTTTCAGTTCCTTGGAAGGCACTTACTTTTAGTTAATGATTGTATTGAAATATATGAACAGAAACAGATGATTACATGCATACCTGTTTGTGTAGCCAGCCTCTTACTATAACAGGAACATTGGGATTCCTCCTGATAGCTTGTTCCCTCTTTCCAAAGCTATGAACTTTGTTTCCAGCCTTCACAACCTGTAAAGAAGTATAATGTAGCAGTGGTTTTTAAACTGTACTGAGAGTCATTTCACATTACATATAACCTCACTGCAATAATTCATACTTCATTACACAGTAACAAAGCGTTTATAGCATGTTCAAGGGCAAATAAACAGACAATGATATTTACAACATAGTAAAGTCAATCTCCCACTTTCATCAACATATCAGTGCCAGGACGGTCCGCCAACTCCCAGCTGAACAGCAGCAGCACTGGTGACTGAAGTCTGAAAGGCAGAACTGCTGAAGTTTTAGTGTGTTTAGGAAGTGCATTGCAAGAGCTGCATGCAAGTCCCTCTCTGCAACATGGTACAAGTCTTACACGCACAGCACTTTGTGCGCATGAATCCTACTCTTGCTGTTCGTTGTTTGGGGGTTTTTTTGGTTGTTTTTTGTTTTCTTTCCTGTTTAAATTCAAACAACATTGATAGCTTAATAAAATGCTTGGACTTTGACTCTGCAAACAAAAGGAGAAGACAGAGTGACACTGCTAAGGAAGAGACCTAGACAGCAGTAAGTGGAAATCACAAGGTCTAGGTAATGGTTTGTGTTTTACCGCAACCTCAGTATTGACTCACATGGGCAAAACTATTTCAAAAACAAACAAAGAAAGCCTATCAGTCTGTGAAAAAGACAGCGAGAATCTCAGGCAGATTATTCACCCAGTTCTTTTCCAGTCTCAGCACAGTTTGCTACTGCAATTGCTTTAGGAATCTGAGGTGCACAAACCACCTTTACAGTAGGAATCTGAGGTGCACAAACCACCTTTACTTCTCCAAGGAAAGAGCTGCTCCTGACTTCTCCAAGGAAAGAGCTGTCCAGATTCACACTCTCCCTCCTTCCTACAATGTCTCCTTTGTTTGAATCTCTCCTCTCAGCTGGTCAGGGTACTGATGCTCTGTCAGCTGCAGACAAACAGCAGCTCTGGAAACGAGCACATTTGTCATATGCAAGGGATGATATCACAAAAATATCTCAGCGTACTGCTTCTGCCAGTCAGGCAACATCTGGACTAGAAGACAGCATATGTAATAATAAAATATTCTAGCACTATATGATACCATTAAATGGATTCTGTTAATTTTGAGGCCAGGCTTTACCAACCTGCACTAAATTTCACACATTTCAGTAGACATAAGCACACATCTTAATGCAGGATTAAGATAATAGCAATAATCAGTAAGAAAAAAAAAATCCACTTTTTCTTTGGTGCTATAGCATGTAAAACAGCAATACAGATTTAACACTCATAAGGAGATATCAAAGGGCAGATTTTACCAGGTAGTTTCCCTGAGGTCCATTTACCAGGGAGCAGCATGCTGCTTTCAGCTCTGCTGAGAAGTCAGGTGAGCTGCATGTCACGGTCACTTCTGTGAAACGCCCTGACACTTAGGAGACAGGAAGAATGTCAAGTATGGGCTTTTCCCTAGGAGTGACACCTCACCTGACACCTCAGTGAGAGTCTGCACAAGATTTACCCGCGGCCCAGGGCAGCACAGGAGATCACCTGAGCAGCCCAGCTGTCCAGGGCTAATACAAACCTAACAGGCCAGGCTGTAAACAGCAACAGGTTTCTGAGCAGATGCCCCTGCCATTCAGCTGGCAATAACCAGTTCACAGTAAAAGCCTGGTCAGGATGGTATCACTGAGATCTCCCAGCCCATTTCTCTGCCATACCTGTGCTAAGGCACTCAGCTAACAGGCTGCAGAGCACTTGCTTTGTGCAAACATAGCGTGTCAATTACAACCACAAAATCTCTCTCGGTACTCACTCACAGACCTACAAGCAGCAAGTCTGAGACTAAAGGAAGGAAGAAATAAGACGTTAGGCATTTTGTGTTTCCTATTGAAAATATTTCAGGACAGAACTTGTGAACCTGTGTCCAAATACCACTTTAAACAAACACACAAAGAGGTATCATGAGGACAGTCGAGCTCTGGATGATCGGATGATCATCAGGCCAAGCTATATATATTTTCTCTTAAGAAAAATGAGAAGTAATCAATTCAGTCAAGATTTTAAAAAACTGTTGCCAAATGTTAGATGCAACAGCTACATTACAAGGGTGATGAAAAACAACGAGGCCCAAACTGTTTAAGGCTCTGAAAAATCTATGCTTTGCACCTGAACAGAAATCAGTTTACAAAATGCACAGAATTTTGGTTTCCTAATTTTTCTCTCTCATATTTATCCTAGGAAGGGTGGAACAGTTAAAGTATAGCTGATCTAGCCTGACAGCAGGGTTTAAATTTGATTGTTTCATCAGATCCCCTGTCAGTGATCAAGCACTTTGATTCTCTGACCTTATTTAAGTTAAAAAAAAAATGCAGACCACAATGTAGAGAAGTCATCCTTGGACTTGGTCAAAAGACCAAACAATTTCTATTACATGGGAGGGGGGACAGTTTTCCTAAGGCTGTGTATTCTCTGTCAATACAATACCCATTATAGAAACAACAACAACAAAAATTTTATGGTGCTTTATGTAATTAAAATTTTCATATCATCTGTAGTATTAATCATCTCATTCTGCTCTGGAATAAAACAAAGCATAACAGATACTGAATGTCTAGCTTTCACTGGCTAGAATAAGAAGTTAGTTTAAAAGAAAAGGTATATTTTTAAAACTGTTTGTCTGTACTGCAGTAGCCTTTTCCTAACTTAAAATATTCTGATATCATTGTCGTGTGTTGAAAAATACAGGTCAGAGCAGCTGACAAAGACGACAAAGAAGTCACTTTTGACTTCAGTACATTTGTTATGCTGGCTTGTTTGTGAATGACTCATAAGTTTTTGCAAAAAAACCAAAATGTCAAGAGCCAAAATTTTCAAATCCCTTTTTATCACCGTGTCACCATCTTCCTTACAGTAGCCTCTAGCTGAGGAGGAAAGTTACTAACTTAATTTTAAAATGTAATTTATTTTTTTCCTAAAACTGGACAGTCAAAAAAAATATAAACAGCCTTTCATTTGGAACAGATTTTCTAAACAGCAAAAAGGAAGACTGTATCTTGGTAAAAATATGCATATATATATATATATACACACATAAGAGAACATATAACTTAACTTTCAATCTACAGGGAATTAAAAAAAACCCACCAAAACCCCACCTGTTTAAGTCATAAACTCTTCCATTCAAAAAATCTCAATGTTTCACTAACAAATGAACTCATTAATGCTTTCAGTATCTCTAAGTAAATTAGACAAAAACCTTATTCTTCAGATAGGAAAAACTGAAACTCTCAGAAATTCCTGCTCTTAATATTGGGCATTCATCTGCGGTGGCCCTGAACTAATCCCTGTGTTCTACACTCCAGCTCCACACAGTCCCACAGAGCTGGCACCATCGCATACCTGTCACCATTGCCTGTTACTCTCAACTGCTAGATGCATTGTTTACTTACTTGTTGTAATCCTCACCAGTTCATCTTGGAAAAATACCAGCAACTATCAGTGTCATCAACAATTCAATTACTTCTCTTGCACAGAATCCATCAAAAACACACTCTCAAAATGTAGATAGTAATAGACACATTACACTACTATCCTTTATGCTTTTGACTTCGCCAAAGTACTGTGTAGCACAGTAACATTTACAAGCTTCCATTTACACCATCAGATGCTTTAACAGACTAAATTCCAAATGTACCTTACTCTCAAACTGAAAGAGATCTTTATTCCTCCATATCCTTCATTTGTAATCAATGTAAGTGGCCTTTAATATGGTTAATGATATAATTGAATTGGCTGTGAACAAGCAGATCTTTGGGACAGAGAACGACTGTGGTTTATCAGCATGCCCTTTTGCTTTTTATTCCCTCAACTCCACACCCCTCAAATTTCAAAAGGAAGGATAGACTGCATTGGTCTAAAGTCTTCAGACAACTTATTCAGACAGTGCCAGCATGAAAAATGGTGGGGCCCGCCCCAAGAATCTATGTGCATTTCTGCAAAACTGCCCATCTCAGGTGTCTTACAAAATGAAGCCTTATATATTTATATGCACATCAATAAAACATAATGACATTTGGTAAGTATAAGCCTCATTTTGGCTTTTTTCTTCTTTCCAACATGCTCCTCTTGTTGTACACTGTACAACTGACATTGTTGTACAAATAATTGTTTCCAAACAATTACTTTTTATTTCAGAAGTTTTATTCAGTCCAAGTTCAGACTTGAACACTGCAACAAGCAAGCCAGAAGTCTTCATCTCTTTCATCTTGAACTGAGAATGACAAATCTGCTGTACAGTTGGCAGCTTACCTTCCCCCTCCACCCCAAATGTAGCAATTCTTAGCTGTCAACTTTCTGCAGAAGAATCAAGTGGAAAGCCATGTACCTGTTCCTGCACTTTCTGATCTGGTAATACTTCAATGTGCATAGCTCTATATAAAAATCAGTTTGAATTTGGTCAGGATTCCAACACTATACCTACACAGTTCTGTGATGGCATTTGCAGTACAAAATCATGAAAGCATTTCATAAAAGACAGTAATTTGCTATGGGTAGCTAGAAACCTTTGCCATGACAAACAGAATGTGTCTCTGGCTTCATGACTGTGTCTCAAGTCTGCGTCTGGGAACTCACTCTCTGAAAGAATGATTATGGGATTCACGGAAGAAAACACTTATAAACAGATGAAACTATCTTAAAATCTACTCTCAACATGCCAAAAGTCAACCTCAAAATGGAGGACACACTTTACAGCCTTTGTCCTCATTGCTAGTTCACTTGAATTAATTTTGTGTTAGGCTGTAAAGGAATTTAACAGATCTCCTTCTGACTCTACAAAACAAGAGGAGTGATTTCAAGCCTGGAAACACATACAATGATGAAACAAAGCATATATAAGACAGACATTGGTTCTCTGTCTTAATCAAAACTTCAGTAAAGTATTTATTGAGGGCCCGCAGCAGAACGGATCTTATATAAACAAACTTGGTGGAGAAGAAAAGTACAGGCAAGCCCTCTATGAGAGGCTCTATTCAAAGTCTAAAGCTGCCATATATTAAAAAAGATGCCACACTTGGGAGCCTGCCAGAAGCACGCATGGCCACACTTATACTGGACTGCAAACAAAATAGAAGCAGACACCAAAACCAGACCAACTGAAGTTTTGGGAGGTGATTCTGGATATTCTCTAAGCTGTGATGGTAAGAGCATTACCCTCACCTGTAGTTGTCCGGTTCTGATGTCTCCACTGAACTAGCCTCTAGCATGTGGGTGGCCCTGTAAGTTGTATCCACTCACCATTTTTGATCTCACTGTTTTGCAAAGCCTGATTAGATCAGTGCAAATACGTGACAAAGGGAAGCAGCAGAAGCAGGTGACAGAGGATGCACACTTTTTGGCAGAAGTGTGATCCTGGGTAAGTGAAAGCCAACTGTGTCACTGGAGAAATCCCCAGCTCAAAGCAGAGTATCAGGTCCACATTAAGTTTGCTGGTTTTAAGAGTGAAAAAAATGAGCCTTCTCTCTCTAATGCTGGCTTAAAAAAAAAAAATCAGAATAAGGAAGATAAATACAGTAAACACAAATGCCCAAGTACTTTGGTAAGTTCAACTGTTAGAATATCAAAAAGAAATGTATCAAGTAATTCAGGTAACCTACTAAGTTTACTGTTTTCAGCGATAACTTCATCTAGCACTTTAAAGACAAACGTATTCTTGAGATTTGACACATGACAATCTTTGCGTTGGTCCAATAATCTAGACACTTTGGATCTAAAAAAATAATTTTTTTTTTATTTTTTTTTTTTAGTGTCTCATGAAATTGTTTTCATCTTCTCCAATATTCACCCAAGCAATTCAAAACATTAGAAAAAGATTTTAAGTGATTCCAACTCAACAAAAATATCTTTGCAACCAATTTGGCAAAGTCCTTTCTTCAACTCAATTACTTAACAGGCTTCAAACTTTTGTATTTAAAAAAAACCCGAGAAGTTTAAAAACTGCAGGCAAAGTTCAGAAATCTATCTTATCTCTGCTAATTCTTCCAGTATTTTTTTTGCTTCTTTCTATCCAGCCCCCTCCCATTCTCACTGTACTGTAATTTACTGTAAGGTCAAAGAAGCATTAAAATAGTTGGTGACACTTTAAGTACAGCACTTTATTATATTTTGTGCAATAATAAATACAGGCCCTTTGTCAATGCCAAATAATGGATTTTTCTATTATTAAACATTCTGTGTGTAAACTTGGTGTCTGCACTGTTTGTGCACTACAGTGCTGGCAGAAAAGGATCTAAGTTGTTACTAAGAGGAGGAACGCAAGTAAAGTTTCATGGAAAAGTACAAACTGCAAATTATAATTCCTGGTATTCTGCAGCACTTTTTGCCATACACGCTGGACTATCAAAAGACTTGCTGGAATACTACTGTTACATATACTTACTTCTGTTCTTAAGAAGCCTCTCAAACTTTACATGTCACAATAATCACTATTTTTCAAATTATCATTCAATACTGTCATGTGTCATGTGCTCCTATGCTGCAAAAAGGTTTTTGCTTCAGTAGAAGATATTACCTCTTCTTTGAGGTAAGTTATTAGACTTCTAGGCTAAACCCATGGCCCTATTAAAATCAGCATTAAGAGAGTACTGGATTTAAAGTGAGTGAAGTTCTAATCATCAAGCTGAAACAATAGCCTTTTTCCTTTACCTTAGAGCCAGGTTTTGTATCAACAGCAGATGTAGTTACTGCAGTGGACGTTTCACTGACCATGCTTGAAGGTCTTTGGTTTATTTGTTGCTTGGACATAGATGAATTCTGTCTAGAAAACAAACAAAAACAGATAATCTAAAGCACGTTGTTTCAAACAGTCAGCTTTGCCTTTTTCTATCCAAGATTCACAGTGAGCAAATGAATGACAGGCTAGTCAAACATTTCCCATGCATCTGCAATTTCCTTTGCACCACCCCTATTATTTTGATTTCAGGTATTTCTCAAGCAGATGCTGCCAGTGACATCTGATGATTGGTATTTGTCAATGTATCAGGAGGAAGAAACCTGCCAAATTGTCTGCAAATCCAACAGAGAATCAAGATATAACAAAGAGCACTCAGAGAAGATAAAGCTAATGAAGAGAAACTAAGTTGTGCCCAATTTAGAGGCTTGGCTGCAAACATGCAGAAGAGCCAGTACTGGGGAGGGAAGGATAAGAGTCAGCACTTTGCAATAACAGGCTTCATATTTAAAATCAAAATGACACTAGCCTACTATTAGATCTTTCACTAACTTAATGCTAGATCTTTGAATCTGCCCAAAATATGATTCATACTACAATATGAATTATTAAAGTACCTCTTAAGTGAAATGGTGCAATTCATGGCAGATACTGTTAGAAATAAATAACCTCTGAGTCATACTAAGATTCAAGCAATCTTGATAACTAGCTCAGATGCAGATACCCATTCAAAGCATAGGCGAGATCAATCCTACCATAAGAACCTGTTCAACAAGTAAGAATTCAGTACAGCTGCCCAGATGAAGAAATGCGAGGATAAACGGAAGTGCGAAATCTTGTGGAATCCCATATGCAGGTTGTAAAGAGAAGCCTCAGCAGCCAAGCTTGACACCAACTTGTGAATTAAACCCATTTAAAAAAAATCATTAACAACGTAGTTTAGCAAATTGTATTTTAGGAACAAGTAGCAATACAGCCACATCAGAAAAAACAAAACAAACTATTAACAGCCTATGATTTTCCTTTTTGCATCTCGGCAAGTCACCAAAGCCATGTATTTTTAAAAAAAAAAAAAAAAGGACAAGACAAACAAGCCACACCAAACATGACTATTGCTACCACTGAAATTCAATCCAATTCTAAACCCAACAGAGAACAGAATAATTCTGAGCAGTTATCACTCATAAGAACAGAGAAGACGATTTTGTGATTGTAGTAGCTCAACACAGGGTTTAACTGAAGACAAGGTGTTTGCCACCACTGCTCTTCCCCAGTTACAACCTGAATAATTACCTGCCCAAAAGCTTTTGTAGTTGATTTGGTGTCAGGTAAAGCACATTTTTCCATTTGTGACCACAAGCAATTAAGCTTGCAAGGAAGTAACACAACTTTTATCTCATTTCCTTTATACCTTGCTTATCTGGCATAAATCCCTTCTTTCTAGCTTTTATATGTAAGTTCAGGTCCAAGATACAAGAACAAATTACAAGTCCCTAAAATCCCTGGCCAGCCTTTAATGCATGAGAGCTTCATCACATCAGTTTGAATCCATTTGCCTTACCTCTTATGGACCAGGTATCCTACTTCAGCATTTAATCAGCTTTAGGAATATCCAGTCTCAGCAAAGAGCAGATTAAGACACCTCCCGTATATAACGCTGCCTGACTAAGCTATTTCTGTTGATCAGCCAGTCTTATTATCTGCTTTTGACTCTGTTCTCACTTGTTCCCTTTCCACTCTATACCCTTTCAAAACAGGTAGAAAATGCAGACTTACAATGTGCCTGCATTTTACTTGCAAAACCATCTTACTTGCCTTTTCCTAATATTTACTTATCAAAAAGGTTCCATTTCCCTGCTTGAGGCAACTAAACAAAGAATAGGTATTTCAAGGAGGGAGGAACACTAACAGAGATGTGAGTCTTCTACATTGCCTCCTCAAAATGAATCTAAAGTATTAGATTTTGTATCATTAAGAGGGCCACTAGAAATGAGTTGCAAAACTATGAAACAAACCACATCCAAGGCAAACGTTTGGCCTTAGAAAACACAAACTTTCTCTTCCTCCCTTGAGGTGTAGATTCTTTACAATGTCCACACCACAAACTACTGAGTTTTATACTGTAGGACAGCCACACAATACATGTTATTTTCCAGATACTCACTGCGACAAGGAGGGGGGAAGGGGGAGGTGGAAGGAAGAGGATAGAGCACATAACATACATATTCAGAAAATCATTAATACGGAAAGAGAAATAACCCCAGAGGAATGGCTTTAATCTATCAATCAGGGTAGGCAAACTCAGATTGAACAGATATTCACTATTCCACAAGATACTGGTTCATAGTAGGTTAAACATATGGCAGTTTAAAAAAA